AATTAGGTTGAAGAGAAGGCTGCACCATAGCGCTTTTTGACTTTTTTGTTTGTTTGCACACCGTCGGCATTCTATCTCTGAATCTCTCTTTTTCACCTTTTTTGCTACTGTCTCTATCTATCATGGTTGGCCATCATGAGGTATGTGGTGGTCCTTCAGGAGCCATCCGTCAACCCACTCAATGGTTATTCTTTGATGATTACGCAATTACCTTTTAAGGCACTTGTCTTGATTGTTAGACAGCTGAAAGACCTTTTCATTCATCTGCCCTTCCTGTAAGGTGTTGAGATCAACCTCGTTCTTTCACTATACTAGCATCTCTGAATACAATAACGCTTCTTACATAACTCCAAATTGAGAATTACTCAACTTCTGTGTATTTTCAGTATCTAAAGCTATTTCTTTGGTTATTCTTAGTCAATCTCTTCATACAATTGGTCATTTCATCAAAGCACCGTTATTCATCAAGCATTCTGTACTTTTTCACTCTTTCTCTCTTTACATCTCATATATCCTTCGAAGATTTGTAACTGGACTAGCCATTGGACATCCCTTGAGGCAATGGCCTCACTTGTCGACCATCAATCCTTCAAAATTTCATTTGTTTGTTCTTTTTTCAATTCGAAACTTTCTAACACATTTGAGAATTCCATTCAAACTCTTAGAACTTCTCCTTCCTCTCAAGATCCTACTCACAAATCATAAAAAGCGACTTGACTGCCTGCTGCTCAAAAACTCAAATTATGCTTAGTTCTACACTCGTGCTTCCGGTCCATTGCCTTCTTACTCACAAACATCAACCAGCTTTTCAAATTTTTAATATTTTCGGTTTTTTTCATCTTGAAACGTTAGTATCCGTTGATCCGACATCTTCTCCCTCTCTTTCTCTTTCGGAAACTCAGCACGATTCACTCTTCCATTGCTCCAGCTCATTGTAAAATCTCATATTTCCTCTCATTCCATGATCGAAGGCTTGTAGTTAGATTTATACATCGCTCATACATATAAAAAAGCCGAAAAAGGATATACAGATCGTATCCGCGAATGATCCGTCCTAAGCCCTGCTTACTCAAAAACAAGACCGAAATCCAAATAAGGATGTGGGAAGAAAGATGTCTGGCTCATCTCATGCTCTTCTTGTCCCCAGCTCTCTCTGCTCCGCCATATGTGTAAGTTAAAGCTGCATAAGAATATTGTAAAAGAAAGGATTAACTATATATGGTTGAGTTCATATATAGAAAAACACCTGTGACGACATTATCCTATTACGAGAGCCAGATGAGGACCGTCGGCCTTCTTTCCATCCTTATTATTATGCTGTCTACCAATTTTGGAAGCATTTTATGGTCTATTGATTGTTCTTCTAATACGGTTCCGTTCATTTGGATTTCCTTTTTTGATAGCCGATTCTCGTTTATATTAGCTCCTGCTGTTCCGCATTCGGAATTGAAAATTGAAAGTTGTTTTATATATCTTGAACATACGCATCCTTCTAGTTTTCCCCTTTTGTCAATCACAGTCCTCTTGTACAGCTTATAAAAACCTCTTAGTCCTTAGTCTTAGAGAGGAATGCCTGTCTTGAACCATTCTCCCAAAGGCCAATCACAAACACTTGAGATGTAATTCTATTTTTCGTACCATCCCAAAATATATCTTCGGAATATTTCTATCATCGTGCCGGATTCTCAAATTAGCCGCAAATCTTTTTCTGGTTGCATCTTTTATCCATGAATGACCGACGCACTAGAGAACTAACCAATAAGAAAAATAGAAAAAGAGAGTAGCAGAAGGGATGTGCAGATTGGAGCTTTTCAATGTCCAAATTGAGTTAAGTTTTCTGGTAGTGGAAGAACTCCAAGCAGCTTGTTCTATCTCTAAATCGCATTTGTCGTCTTTATGCCGTAAAACTTGGCTCTGATTGTTGCTAATACGTTCACATTAACAAAATTTCTTTTCAACCCTCTGATTCCTCACATCGTACAGTTCACGAGAATCCTCTTCGTTGCTCTTCTCAGCTATATCCGCTTCTGATTCTTATCTTCCAAAGGTTACGCTAATCACTTCCGAACCGGAAATTAAGAAGAGTTTTCGGATGGATTAAAGTCAAACATTTGAAGACCCAAAAACAAATTTCCTTTTACGGAACAGGAGGTCTCTTGTCTTCGTTCTTCATATGATTTTCTTTTTTCCCAATTTATTCCGCGAAGCTTATGATGTGAGATGTTATACAAACGACTACATTATTGTCTGTCGGAATCGTTGTGACACAAATTTTTTCATTCAAATTTCGTCAAGTGTCATCTGCCTGATGTACTACAGATGTTTTCAGAAGAGAAGAATGTCGATATGAGCATATGTTCCAAGTTTTTTTGGTCGTGATAAACCTACTTCATTGTAAGCTTCTTGTTCAGTGGATGAATTCAATCAACAAGAAGTGAAAAGAGAAAACGAGGACTTCTGAAAACTGCTTTTCATTCGTTAAGACTTCTCTTTGCCTTGCCTTTCGTCTAAGGTCGATACAAATCGAACTGAGAGATGTCAATGATATCCTGATTTATTATCATATCTCTATTTGGATAGTATTGTCTCTTCTGTTTTGAGCCAGCAGATATCTCCCAAATAACTCATAAACCTATTGCAACCAGATGATACATCTCATTTACAATGGCTTTTCGCGTGCATGTCAACCTTCAGTACCAGACCTTATTAGCACTATATCATACCAAGATCCTTTTATGTTATTTTACAACATAGACCTGTTAATCCCATATTTGGATACACACACGAGGTAGTAGTTTAACTCCGCCCCCCTTGGGAGACCCGCCTTTTTTTTCTTCTTCCCTTTACCCCCAGCTTGAGGTCATCAACGCTGAGCCGAGAAGAGGCGGAGAATCATAGTATGTGGGGTCTCAGTATCCGACATTATACGCCCAAGAATCGTTAGCTGTTCGCCTATACAATTAGATTCCAATCAATCCTTTTTCACTTTGTCACCTTCGTCATATCTTTTCTTATTTATCTTTCTGTTTCTTTCTGATAAGGCCAACAACATAACAAATCGTCCTTGTGAAAACATATTCTCTTCTTCTACCATGAATCCTCTCTATCATCACACTTCTTCAGTCAGTTTAAGCTGCATTTCTCGTTCTATATTAAGTCTTTGTTCTTCTTTTGCTCTTCTGCTTATATTCCCACGTATATTTACAAAGCCATGCCGACCGTCCGAGCATTGCTCCCACTGGCTTTGACAACCTTGTCCAAATATGTCGTACAGTAACTATATATTTTTTTGATTTGTATGTTGAACTCTCGTACTCTGTTCTTGCTGACTACCTTCTCTTTCGTATATTGTTTCTGTTCTTTCCATTTTTCTACTTTAGCGACTTTGCAAACACAAAAACTTTATGCTCGAAGCCATTTTATCTCAAAACTTCTCGTTTCACGCTCCATTTGTCTGTGTGAAGCTGACGATGTCCTTCTTTCCCTCTTGTAATTCTGTTAGTCTATCGTTATTCAATTCTTTCCAACACCATCATGTGAAATCTGTCTTCCTTTTCTGACTTAAAGCATCATTGCCTCATTAGGCAGTTCACTAAGCTTCTTCTGTCCTCCCCACATCCCACCAACTCATCAAACATCCTAATAAGTTGTGTTTAGAAACCCATCCTTCAGTCTAAATGAGCCACAGATATCATCGATTCCGTTCTAAAATTAGCTCATCCTTGTCCAAGAGCTTTCATTCCCTCAAATCTTGACCTTCTGTTCCTCAAAATAGAACAACAAAACACATTGGGCCAAGTCGTTCTGAATGAGGTGGCCAACAACCATTCACCCTCTCTTCCTTCTAACATATTTACCGGAAAGTTGGAAGAAAAAAAGTTCTTTCAAAGGTTAACGAAGAAAGTCTCTTTCTGAACCAATCTTCGGTAACGATCTTAGATTTCGAACATCTCAATTGAGAATGAGAGTTTCAATTCTCGAGACTCGATTTCAGAGATAATGGCCCACATTTTCCGCCCTATTACCTGGATGAGATGGTCATGAGTCAGTTATGCGCATAATTAATACAAAAATCTGCCAAAAATATTGTTTTTGGAGAGAATTTGTGAATTTGATGCCAGATGACAAGCTGCAAGATCAGATATTTGACGAATGTGTCGATTCATTCATCACAATTAAGTATTTGGAAAGTGAATTGTGTAATTATGAGTACTCCCTCCTCAAACCAGAATACCTAAAGACTACCAAATATGGAAACGATTCAGTTAATTACACGGTGAATTTCATTCTATTTTGTATCCACATTGAGCAAGGTCGATCCTCTTCTGACGAAACTCATAAAACTATAGAAGAAGGAGGACAATTGCGTCTTATATCCTTAGATAGAATTATTTACTTCGTCGTCGTCGTCTTCTTCTTCTTCTTCTTCTCCGTGGCAATTCTTCTTTCCCATTTTTGGTAATAACAGTTATTACTTTTCGATCCCGTCTTCTTTACAAACTTACCTAATTCAATTTAATTATTCTCAGATTAACACTCTCTTTCTATCGTTTTCTCGCCGTCTCCTCTTTTGCCTCAATGACTCGTTTCTCTCAATTCTCCGCCTCTTCAAGAACTTGCTCATCTCCACGAGGCAACACGCCTCAACCTTACCAACTTGGACCACTTCTATACATTTTCGTATTCAGCCTAAGCGATTTTCATATCAGTTCATATTATTTTTCTTTATTCCAATAGCAATGAGTTACAATCTCATAGGGAAAATGTCCGTACAGAGTGACCATCTTCATGTCTTCCATTTATGGTTTAAGCAAATTATGACGTCAAAACATATCTCTCTGGTCACGAACAGTCAACGTCTTCAATCGTTTACAACGTTTCATATTTTTACAATTCCATCGTCATCCATCTGCTTTCGTATTATTTATTTTGTGTCTCCATACTTGGTGTTGCTCCTCAAGTGCGACTAAACCTTTGCTACTTTCAGATTAGATGCCATCATGACTTGTGACTGTTTAGCAGCTCCACCATCATTCTCAGCTATCCCTCCACCGGATCCCTCTCTCATCTGGCACCTGCTCAGTGAAGAAGAGTTTGAAAAAGTGAGTTTCGACTATGTCATTAACACATTTGCCCTGTCTGTCCTATTATGGAATATTCATTTACAAATTTGGTCATATATCCTTCTGTTGACGTTTTCAAGTGTTTGAAAATGCCGCATCTATCAGATAAACGTCAAATTCAGACGCCTGTGGCAAGAAATTCCCAAATCAACAGAAGGGACAAAAGAGCTTCGGCATTTGTTGCAAATAAGATGAATCAAATTAACGAAGACGATTATGAAGTTCAAAGCGGCGGCTGCTGCTGTTGCCAATGATTGACGTTGTGACACATGATCGTCACATTGAACTGTATGAATTCAGTATGACAAAACGTGTCAAACGAAGGATAGGAGGGAATTTTCCTGTTAATCCTAAACCTCCTAATAAGGGGTTCATAACATAATAAAAGCTATTGTTTCTTAATCCCCAACACACTCAATTCAATTGTCACATTGATCCATCTCTCTATCACAACTTTACCAACCCTCATTGATTTTATGAAAAAAACAAAGAAAACAATATTGATTGACAACTTGTCTATCCCATTCTCTTTCTGAGCCAAAAAAGGAACATCTGCAACTGTTTACCAGTCATCTCTCCCGTACAAGATGCAATTTATGATTTAGAGCCTCTCGCCTAGCTCGAGCCCATAGGGAAATTCCCCAATTTCGTCTTTTTCACTTTTCCATATGTTCAACATTATTCTGAAGTTTTTACAACACTTTTTATTAATTTTCATCTGTTTCAGGCTCCCGATTGCGAATGGAGTCCATTCGTCTCAATTTCGAATATTGGCAAGCATGAGTTTCCTTTGACAAGTAGAGCTTTGATAGCTACTGCTGTCATAACATGCTTGTTCCTCCTGACTCTCCTAGTCACTCTGATCTACCGAATTAGCAAGTAAGTTCTTTTGTCTTCGATGAACAAGCATTGACCGTGAATAATTTCTAAAAAGTATTGTAAACGATAAGCAGGTGCTTACAATAATCGAGAGTGAGATGAGATGAAAACAAGCCCGACGGCCATATTCGGCTTTCCAATTATGAATTATATAGTAAGCTTGCTATAAACGGATTGATCATTGACAAGTTCATCCATCAAGCTCGGGTCAAATGGGATCCAAATTAAAGTTGTTCATTAAGAACTATGATCAATCTTCGAGCACATCTGATGTTTTGACAGTCACATTCACCTGTTTTTATGAACTTTTCCATTATCTATCTGTTCATATACATTGTAATGATAGATAATGGCCATTTATTACTTCATCCAGACGGTCAAACCTGGATTCGTAACAGAATCTTCATTGAAGCAGCTGCTTTCCAGTTGTTACTTGGGGTCAAAGCCTCGTAAATCAAAACTGCACGAATCCCAGAGTTTAGACTGTAAAAGACCCTAAAAGTAGAGAAGCTTCTGCAAAATTTCCGCCTAATTCGACCTGATGATGAGAAAAACCTCTTCCTGTGCTTCATCATCGGCTTATCCTGTTCGTAAAACGAACACAACTGCCAATCTGGCAAGACGAATTGAGAGAGTTAATGATGTGCTAAGTGCCAGCTTATATTGTAGCTTTGAGATGTTTTGGTATTTCCATATATAGAAAAGGGAGAAGGGTCAAGTGTCGATTAGTCATACGAAGTGGACTAATCGAATTATCAGACTATATGAGAAGCTCAGCTTGTTTTGGTCTTATCCCCCCCCCACTGAATAATTAGACGGAATTCTTAAAATAACCATTCTCTCTCTCTCTTTCTCTCTCTCTCTCAAAAGCGGAAGAAATGTTTTCGAGGGACTTCACCTACTTTTCCACTGAGCTATTCGAATGTCGATAATTTCCAAAACGACTTTGAGACAGCCTTGACGATGGTAATCCGGTCAAATGATGACTGAAACGCCACAGGAGGGCATTTGATAGTTTCTAAATAAGAAGCTGATTGTCAGGATATTTGCATTTCGTTGAACTAAGCATGTCTCAAAGCAGACGATGATGAATCTCATTGAACGTTTTGGAAGAGCATTAAGTGTACCTTCCTAAGAACATGCATGAAGTAAAGAAATTAGAATATCATTGAAGTTTCTCTATTGAACAATCAGAACTATTGTGTGTTCGTACGAAATCTTGTCGATTCGGAAGTAGCTGGAGATGCACGCGATTCTCAATTCAAACTTATGTCTGAATGAGAAAGCACTTCATCATCACATAATTTCATCATTTCCATAAAAGGCAATTGTTACTAGTAAATGGCTCTTTAGATTAGTCCTCTTAACAACTTCCTTGGCCGAAATATAAAATTTGAATTTTTCCAAAAAAGGAATAAGCACATCTTATAGATTCACTGTTAATTCATTAATTCATTTTATTTACAGACGTAGGAAGACGCCAAAGTCGAAAACATCTTCTTCCTTAGATGCTATCATCTCGTACGGAGCCGACAACGCTTTCACATACAACTCAATGAAAACATCTCCAACTGGAGGATTGATCATGTATAATGGAACTTCCAACCGAATGTTCAGTAACGCTACTCCTGCTACTGTCAGGTTCGTCTTCTTCTTCTCTTTAATTATATCAATCCTTATACGTCAGCCAACTGTCTCTTTTTGTTTCCTTTTTTTTGTTTTCGGATGACAAATCACTTGAGCCGTAAATCGCTTGTTTTGCCCATTTGATGTGACAGTCCTTCTTTCTTTCTCTCTTTCTCTTTTTGACCCATTAAAACAACTGACCAGCATACTATCTGAGGTTGATCGCTTAACTATCCATCAGAAGTTATGAAACATGATCGATGTATTAGATCAACCATAGAATATGCGAAATGAGAAAGTTGAGGTTAGATCATCAATCAGCTAAAACAAACATTTCTTTCCCACAAGAAGGGACATATTTTTTATCTCAATCTCTTTTCAGATCTTATATTGGAAGTATCGTAGATGGGACTGCTCTGCGTCATTCGGCATCCACAACGCTGCGGTTACATCCTTCTGAATCTACTGCTTATCATACAGTAGTTGGTCAATCTCGGAATGGCCCACCAACCGAATATTATGAAGAAATTCCGCCTCGAGGAACTTTACCTACTCATTTCCACGTTCCACCTCCTCCAGTCACACCACCTTTGAACCAACATGGTAGGATGTCAATGAGAAAACCTCCTCCATCATGTCGGCCACCTCCACCTCCACAAGAGTACTCACCAGGAGGAAGTGACATCAGCATAGAACGAGAGCTTACTCGTTTACCACAAGATTCTCCCCCATGTCGCCGTTGGGAAGAAGAAGGACGAGAGAGTGGTTATGGTACTGCTCCAAGTAGACAATGGCGAAGTCCTCCAGGAAGTGGTGGAAGGTAATAATTTTCTGAGAAAAGAACAATTTCTAAAGCCTTACTTTTTCAGACCAGACGATAGTCGATGTCCTGGTTTCTTACTACCACACACTCCTCAGAACAGTCATTCTATGACCTATGTATAGAATACATGTTTTGATCTACCCATCCTCCTGTGATTATCCCGTTGTCCTGATAGTTTTCATTGAAAGCTCATCTGTATTGTAACCTTTTGCCAAATTATTTACGGGTTCAATAGTTGTTTGCCTTGAAGAATAGAGATAGTATAGAGTATGGAATGCTCAAAAGAATCTTTCTGAAGATCTCGTTGTATCTTATTTTCAAAAATTTTACTTTTATTCTTAAAAAATTGATTTTAAAAGTCATTCTGTGATACTAGTCAGACATTAATTAACAAGAAATAAAAATATTTTTTCAAACAGCTCTTTATGTATTCGCTTCCTTGAGGAAATGAATTGGAATGCAACCGGTCATAGCGTACGTAAAGTTAACAATGAACTCACGTAAGAGTACGACCGTTCATTATAGGTGTGAGTTCGATATACATGCCATCTTATCACCATCTGATAGAGTACAAGACTTGATCTATCCCTATTCCTCCCCCTCATCATTCATCAATTCCTCTCATCTTTGTATTCCTGTAAGATGAAGAATCCAATCATTGAATATTTATTTGAACTTTATGAAGTACAGATGAAGTACAGATAGACATACAATAGTAACCGTAACCATGATACCTGTGTTCAATTGCTTGAATGTATTTTTGAAAGATTTGGGGAATTATGAATCAATCTAATTAACTGTATACATTAAGAACATCTTCTATGTGAGTTCGACATGTTGGACATTCTTTTAGTGATGATTCTTGTGAGCAGCCTGAGCATACGACTAAATGCCTGCACGGTTGAAAAACGACGTTCGGCTGAATTGCGAGAATCAAATTGTGAAAAAAAAAGATGATGTTACCTTTGTTGATAAGCAGATGCAACATTCTGTGAGTGTCTTCTCAAGTAGTTCGGTTATCTTACGATTCATGCTGAAGGTCTTCTGCTCCAAGTTTTCAATCATCTTCTGTTTTTCCACTAGCTTTTTCTCATGCTCTTGCTCCATAGAAAGAAGTTGTGAAGCCTGCAACGGTATCTCATAAGTAACGATCCTCCCCTCGCTATGTCAAGCGAACTAAATGTTATTTTTTGACTCTCGGTATTGAAAAGCTTTTAAGCAGAACTAAGACTGAAAGCAAAGAGGACGAACCACTTGCTTATACAGATCCTGTATCTTTCCCAATTCAAGCTGTTCCTCTTTCTCATGTTTAATGGAGTTTTCTAGTAGTTGACGTTGAAATGTAGCATGTTCTTCCTTCTTTTGAAGAATTATCGATGAAGTTTCAGCTATTTTCTCCAGTAAAACACCTGCTTGCTGCAACCGGGCATTGAGAAGGAATGATTATGGATGAGAGATTCAAAGGACATTCGTGAACTCATAACTTTTTCGATTCATTAAGAAACGTACCAAGTTGTTGCGTTGATCTTCCAACCGTCTGGTAATTGACGTTTGCTCGTCCAACAAACTTTTTTTCAATTCCAAGTCTTTACGCAGCTCTTCTAAATCCCTTTTGAGTTCTTCTTCATCTTTCTCCTTGTCTCGCCGAAGAGTCTGGAACTGCTCTTTGCGGTGCTCAGCCAGTTCTTTTTGACTTTCAAGATCTCTTTCTAACTTCAGTTTGGCTATTGTCTAGAACACAGAACGTCATAACTGTTTTTCAGACTATACTTACTAGTTTGTCAATTTGTTCCAACTGGACGGCTGACTCAGAGACCAATGACGTGAGTTTGTCACAATTGTCGAGGATCGTTTTTGCCTACAAAAAAAACAAAATATTGAGAAAGCTAAACTTTCTACAAAACCTTCTCCTGATCACTTTTGAACAGACGATTCTTCTCTTCACGAGTACTTTCTAAAGTTTTCTCCAAATCGATAATCTTTTGCTGTAAATGATTCATAAAACTCGACTACAGAAGAAGTTTCAAAACCTTCAGAATGGCGAAGTGTTGCTCGAATTCGTTCTTGTCCCTCTCCTTTTCTCTATCCAAAGCGTTGATGATCCGCGTAAGATCCGACTCATATCTTGGTTGATGACTTCCAGCGAAGGAGCTCGAACGACTAACAGATGCTGATCGGGGTTGACCACTGAGAGTTTTATAATGATTACCACTGGAAATGAAGAAAGTTAGAACATAGTCTTTAAGAGGAAAGTATACTTCATCGATTTATCATCGTAGATTGACAAGGGTTTGAACCTTGTCGATTCACTAGAACCTCGACCAGAAACGCGTTGAAGCACATCCAACATTCTGTTCATGTTTTCAAAAGGCTTTACGTCATTATAATCCTTCAAATAATAACTTCTAATGTGGAAAGAGAAGGAGGTTCACCTCGTTGGTAAAAGCTGCACTCACTACTTGGGCAGGATATCCCATTTCCAGAGCTTGTTTCATTTGAGCCTTAAAAAAACACTTGGTTAAAAGATCACGTTCAATCTAGTTTACGTGAACAGATGATCCATTCTGCTCAGCCATATCTGATCCCCAATGAAGAGACGAGCAGGACGAACCTGAAGAGCAGATCAGAGTATTCAAATTTGATGACTGATCATCAACGTGTTTAGGCAATGTTCAGAATAAACAATTGGGAGAAATTTGAAACAAATAACGACAGGGTAGTGCATAACATGAATACTGAATTCACGTTTCGACAAATCGGCATCACTTATGCTAAATCGAACAAAAATCGGATTATGAATTTTACAAAGTAATACTAACGGTCATCAAACCAACTGAACAAGATTCCGCTTCTACATAGTTTCACTGAAGAAAGAGAGGCAAAATTTTCTATCAGTAACATTCCGAATTTGCAGAAAACGGCAGGACTTTGGTCGGAACATTGTTGTCCTTTTTCAATCTTATGGGCTTTTCATTCAAAAACTTTATTGGAACATCCTTTGAAATATTTTTCTTTTCAAAAAAAAGGGATTTTATACTATAAAAAAAGGTTTTTGCTTTCATGGTCTCGAAGTTATGGACAAATATGAATTGGAAGTCACGATTTATACTGCACTTTCAATCTTCACTGCTTCCAAAAGAAGTATAGCAAGTGTTATTCACGAAGGTAAACTGCTTTTGAACATAATCAGTTCACGAGACACTCTGTTATAGCAAAAAGTGATAGAAGCATTCCCAATCAGAATGATTCACAATGCAACCGCTCTGGGCTCCGTAAAAAAGGAAATGATACATTCCGTCATGACGTTGATATCCATGAGACATGTAACTTGACTATTTGGAATAAATTATGAAACTCACTTTTCTTTAGAGGTTGCTCATTGAACTTGTCATCTTCCATTTTCATATCTTTACCATTACTGTATCGGTTGTTTTTGTTCTGAAAAGATAAGTTAGCCAAAACTATCTACAGTACACATACTTCGACTCGTTTCTTATACCGATGAATAGGTGAATCAGCTACTTTAGAAGCTACTGACATATTAACAGCATCAGGCAATGGTGGACAACTGTACGACTCAATATAAAGCTTAACATAGGAGACTTTATGGTATTTTTCGAGGACGGTCAAACCTGTGATGGCCTACGAACAGCCAGTGGTAAATCGGTTAGAGGCATAGTTTCTGGTAATTTGTTCTGCGTTCGACTCATTATTAATGCCTGAAAGCCAATCACTGTTACACACTATTTTCGTTGGAAAAAGATTACTGAAATCGAATCCACTTTAATCTGGTATAAATGGCATTTCTCTGCGCAGCTGTGAATATTACAGTCGCCATGTAGATAGACAATATCTTCATCCGCCTAAAAACAGTACTATAACTAAGCTGACACCTTAGTCCTACCTTCTCAAAACGCACTTTGCCAGCAGGAAAGTGATGAGAGAGCTCTAGGTTCAAAGGATACCATTTCAGATTCCTGGAAATCGTTAAATTCACTATGGTTTACTAACAGATCATTACGTCAAGTTGAGTACATATAAGTTCGGATTAAGTCCTTGTCGGCTTATGTGAGCATAAATGAGGACAAAGTCATCGAATACAATTAACTGTTTTGACAAGTAATCTGGACGGGGAGCAACGCCCGAAGTAGCTCTGATTTCGCATTTTCCAAATTTGTTTCCTACAACGAGTTGTTGAAGTTAAAATTGATTACAGTACCTGTTAAAGGTATGAGTGCGAACTTAGACGAATCAGTTGCGAAGAACAAATATAGGTGGTTCCGAGATATGAAGGGATTTTCAAATACCACATCTTAAACAGAAGTTAACTTTGTTGTGATTTATACTGTACCTGTAAGTTTATCTTTGGTTTGTAGTTCAATTTTATATTTCTCTCCTTTTGATGAGCGTAGAAACTCACTGACATGGTAGAGTTCAACTACATTCCGTTCATTTTTCCAACATATTGGATAACTTATCAATACGACCCCTTCTTCATCTTGAAGTAAAGCCACTTTCCTTCGCCCTCTAAACAGTAGTATATCAAAGAGTTAAGATTGAATGGAGTTGCCTATTAAGAATATTCGTTCTGTGAACTGGGCCGCTAACATCTACTATCTCTTTCTCGAGATCAATCACTCCTACACAGAACACTAACTCATCAGTACTCTCTCTTTGTAGAACTATTAATAGGTTTCCATCTTGCAGGAATGATAATGCGAGTATCTAAACAAGTATTGTTTTATAAAACATATGATCGAACAGTATACCTGTGCGTCATGGTATACAGGATCGAAATTACAAATCTCTAATGTTGTGTCGAAAATACTCTTCAGATCATAGTATTTCAGAGATTTCCTTGATATTCTGAAGCAAACTTGATATATATGAACATTTGAGAGCAGATCAACTTGAAAATCAGTTGGTCATCTTTCCCAGCAGCCATGCAATGTCCCGCAGAACGAACGCCTGGGAAAACAAAACTATCTCGTAATAATAATGGTCCCATCAGCTATAAAATAAAAATGAGCTACGAATTTTTTAGAGAAATCGAGATAGAGTGAGTATTTCTACATGAGACTGTGTTGTGAACGTTTGTTGATCCATTTGGCAACGCAAACGAAAGAGAGATTGATAACACGAACAACGATAACGTGACTCAAAAGGAGCGGAGGAAGTTATATATTGATCATTACTAAATAAGCTAGAAGTAAACTCATTGCAGCCTAATCAGTTCCTGATAATCGGCTTTTTCGCACTACCAAACAAGAGAACAAGTGTTCGGGAAAGTTTTAAGACCATATCTTGTAAAGCTGTATAGATGGACGAATATGCAAACATGTGAGGATGAAATACATATTGAAAATCGAATCAAGAGTCGTCATCTTTGTAAATAAGATCATTTGCACTCAAAAACGAGTTCTAAGGTTGCAGATATGTTGGCAGAGCGTTAAACGTAGGAAAGATTATTTGTTAGTCATAACTGTGTAGGCGATGATAACACTAATCTATCATCAGTGGGGTGAACTATACACGAACTTAGATGAAGCTGAGGCTCACAGATAAATTGAATTAGCAGGAACAATAATGTAGTTTAATAAATGTGGGAAAGTATCAATGGGTGCCGGTTCACTGAAGGATACTAGTTTCTCTCTCAATTCCTAAAGCTGATTTGCACACGAAATGTGAATTGCATTTGCTGTTTTGAATAATGAATAAGTACGAGTTCGAACAGAAAACGTATTATCAAAACGGCATGTGAAATCGAGAATGAGCTCGTAAATGAGCACTCGAAGATGCGTAAGCCTTTCACTTCTCTCACTACTTTGTTTTGATTTAAAGGGAATTTGTAATGAGTGATAACGAAAACGTTTACCTCTGATGCGGTGACTAAGACAGAGCAGCATAGATTCAAGCGTTGTTAGGCTAATTCACAGTATACACTCCTCCAATTGCAATCCACATTCCTTCAGAGCTTGACGAAAGAACTAACATCTCGTAGACTAGAAGAATGAACAGAATGAACGCCACGTGAAATGTGGTCCCACGTTTTCACGTGACGCATACTTTCCACGTGCCGCATATTTTCCACGTGAAGCGTCATTTTCAAAAATTCGTTGCTCACGAGCAGTCGCACTTCCCACTATTTCTTTTCCACCATTTGAATTGACTGACCAATTTTCTCCATTACAGTTTGAATGAAATTACGGTCGTCGCGTAGTGCATAATGTCGGCGCATGATTGCGTATTTTTTTTATAAGTTATTTATCTTTGTTTTTTTGTAAGCTAAATTTACTTATTCCTGTTTTATACTCAAGGTTTTTCAGATGTCTGATTCAAATACCGAATTCCTGATCTGTTCTGAAAGGTTCCGATCAAAGGAAGATGAAATGAAAACAAGCACATCCACTGAGCAGGTTGTGATTGCTTCAAAGTATTAGTGAAACTTTGCTCAAGCAGTTTAGAAGCGGACAGAATCGTTGGTTAAGTTCGAAGTTCATAATTTTCTTGCTCATCAAGTTTCAACTCCACAATTATTACTGAATCGAGTTGAACATGTACATTATTTACTTCGATCCTTGAAAGAGTTGGGAAATTCGTATGTGGTTAGTTCACTCTGTGTGGTATCCTACCTACATTCGTATTCAGACGTTGGATGCAAGTCGTACATGGTTATGCTATTGGGCGGTTCATGCATTGAATGTTTTGGAAGCTGAAATTCCAGCAGAATTAAAATCAGAAATCGTAATATTTTTGCGTACCTGTGAACATCCTGATGGTGGATATGGGGGTAACAATGACGCTGTGAATACTTCAATTAATTCATAATTTACTCAGGCGGTCCAGGGCAATACCCACATCTTGCTCCGACGTACGCTGCTGTAATGTGCCTCCTTTCATTGAAAACCGAAGAAGCTTTACAATCCATTAACAGGTGAATAGTTTCCTTGTTTATAATGATCGAACAATTTTCTTCAGACAAAAAATAAAAAGTTTCTTGCTAACGATGAAACAACCGAATGGCGGATTCTCAATGCACAATGGGGGGGAAATTGATATGAGAGGAGCTTATTGTGCTCTATCAGTTGCTGGTATTCTTGGGATTTTAGATCCTGTTCTGAAAGAAGGTGCAGCAGAATGGATAGTATGGTGAGTACCATCGAAGTTACGGAATTAAGTATACGTTTCGAAGTTGTCAAACTTATGAGGGTGGATTTGGTGGCGAACCAGGAGTTGAAGCTCATGGTGGATACGCATTTTGTGCTGTCGCTGCTCTTGTACTCCTAGACAAGTAGGATCTCATTTTCCCTGTTGTTTGAACTTGTGTTCTAGATACCGTCTCATGGATGATGACAAATTCATTCATTGGCTTGCTCATCGACAACTTAAGTATGAAGGAGGTTTCCAGGTGCGAACATAATATGTTCTTTTCGTACATTAATATTACAGGGTCGCACAAACAAACTCGTAGACGGTTGCTACAGTTTTTGGCAAGCTGCTGCTTTTCCACTATTGGAGAAAGAATTAGAGCGCAACCACCGACAGGTTGATCAAAGTTTGTTCAATTCGCGAATGCTGGAAGAATATATCCTGGTAGGATGTCAGGTATGTTTTTATGGGTTCATTTTGAATTCATCATTTACTTTCAGGATCCTCGTGGTGGATTACGGGATAAGCCTGATAAACCAAGAGATTTGTACCATACGTGCTATGTGCTCAGCGGATACTCTGTTGCTCAATATTACTCCTTGAAATCGGGGAATATCGTTGGAGACGGTTCCAACAAAGTTGTAAGGTGTTTTCCGTCTAGCTCGCGGTGATTTAGTTCTTTCAGGCTCCCATCAATCCGCTGTTCAATATAACTGCAGAGTCTGAGAAGTTCGCAACAAACTTCTTTGTTTAAACTTGTATTTTTTACGTGTAAAAAGTTGTTTTTTCTACTTTGGTTTCAAAACATACGGTTCATTTTTTAAATATTTGTCTCCTTTTCCTGATCCGTGTCTATCGGTTCATTACTTCTCAATTGTTTTTGATCAATTAATTTTTGTTTTAAGAATGACAGAGTTAGCCAAGAGTAATAAGTTCAAAAAGGTATGTTTGCTTCAAATATGTCTTTACTCTATTCCAATCATTCAGGCCCCTTCTTTCAAGGATAATGGGGCAGTTAAGCAGGCTGCGAAACCTGAGAAAAAAGGTAAAAAACTACCTGAGATAGAAACTGTGGTTAAGCATAAGAAAGAAACAAAATGGTTTTCGTACCAGGTAATCTTGGCTCATGAGCTTATCTTCATTCATTTTTTTAGTTTGATCAAAAAGTTGAAAACCCTAGCGAGGACAAGCTGAGAGACGATAAAACTAAAGAACTGTTCGATCTAGCTGACTCATTATTGTATAAGGATCAAGAATTATACTATAAAGGTAATCTATTGGTAGATATTCTATCAACCGTGTCTGGGTTTTAAGGTCTGCGACAAAGTGGAGGATCTGAAGCTGCTTGGTTGCTCTCTGTCATCAAGACTGGTACAGCACAAGATAGAATAACTGCCATGCAGTTACAGGTATATCACTCTGACAAACTTTTTTTGAATTTACCTTCTTGAGATTCACGAATCACCTATCCACTCTTTGCCATACTTAGAAGCTTTATTGGCTCCTGTAGAGAAGAAGCATACGAGAGAAGTTATGGAAATCATGCGTGAGTGAAAATAATCTGAATTGCTAAATGCATCTTTTGTTTTCAGCTTTAATAGAAACGATATTTTTGGAAAGTTATCTCCCGGAAAGCAGAAAGTTATTATCATTTTCTTCGGTTTGTGGCTACCTGTTATCTTTAAACTCTATTTATGCTTTAGAGACCTCTTGCTAAGCTGGATACAATCTCTGGAGGACGTGACTTGAACAAAAAAAAAGTTCTGATAATGTGGATGTTTGAACACAAGCTGAAGCAAGTCTATGAAAGATTCATCAAAGCTTTAGAGGTGATACCATTAGTGAGAGTATAAACATGAAATACATTAGGGCATTGCTTCTGGAAACATAGAGGACTTATCCAGAAAAGCTTTGAAGACAGCTTTGAACCTTCTAGCAGAGAGACCCGAGGCGGAACAAGTAAGGCATTAGATCCTTTATTTATTACGTCATTCCTTCAGATTTTGCTTTCATTCATTGTCAACAAATTAGGACACCCCAACTACCGTTTAGGAGCAAATGTAGCTCAGCTTTTAGAAGAATTGACACGAAGACAACCAAATATGACTGCGGTGATCGTGAAGGAAACAGAAAGATTAGTGTACAGGTATCTATAATTAATTGAGAACTGTTACAGACCCATCTTGCTTTAGAAAAAATGTCTCAGAAAAAGCTCTCTTATATGCCACTACTTTCCTGTCGCAAATTAAACTTAGAAATGAAGAAGCTCATGTTCCTGTACACTTACTCCAAATTTATTTTGGTCTTTTCAAAACTGTGGTTGCTGCGAAGAAATCCGATAATAGGCTATTGAACATCCTTCTCGCCGCTTCGAACAGAGCTTTTCCTTTTGCCAAAGGTAGGGTTTGACATTCTATTTATTTTATTAATTCTATGATATATTAGATAAAATGGAGAGTCTAGTAGATGATATCGATGCACTCTATAAGGTAGTTCACTCATCGTCGTTCCCAGTTGCTTTACAAACGTTCAAACTATTGTTCCAAGTCTTAAATTTGAGGTACGCTTTGTAAGTTTTTCCCTCAATATTCCCTATCTTTCAGTGATTCCTTGTCTGATCGATTCTATAGTGCACTGTATCGCAAACTCTTCACACCCATACCTCAGAATTGTTATAATCAACTCATGTTACTACTGTTCCGAGTTTTGAAAGGAGATGCGACTGAGGACAGAGTGCGCTCTTTCATCAAACGTCTACTCCAAGTCATTACGAAGAGTGAGATTTTTCTTTAATACTATTGTTTCCAGATTGCTACCGGAGCACCACCTTCTCTTGCTGCCGCAATTCTCATCCTCGTTTCTAGGATAGCTGAGAAGAAACCAGGTGTTCTAGTGACGAAACGTAACTCAGATGTTTGTTATTATTGTTTGTGATTCCTCATTAGTATATTCGCAGAAAGTTCTGACTCAAGTCAATTTCGATGACGATGATGAAGATGAGCACTTTGTTGATATAGGAGTTGATGGAAAACCTATAGTTAAAGCTGAACTGAAAGAAGAGAAGGTGATTTGAAAGCGAGAACCTAGTTGAAAATCTCCCTATCACAGGAAGACGATGATTCAGATGTTGAAGAGGATAATGATAACGGAGCTGAATTAAAAAAGAAAGATATTACCGGAAAGTGTGGTCCTAGCAGCAAGGGTGGTTGGCTGCATAAAAGTATGTCTCTTAGTTTAAAACATTCAGAGACACGATTATTTAGATACGCGTACTTATCGCAGTCCATATGATCCTGCTGCTCGTAATCCCTTGTTTGTTGACGCAAGGAGCTATCCAGATACTGAATTGTTACTGTTGGCGAAACATTACCATCCTTCTGTTGCTATCTTTGCACAACAACTCATTCAGGTTTCCCAATTTCAAATACAATTTAATTATTCTCTTCAGGGTCAATTTATCAACTACAGAGGAGATCCTCTCGAGGATTACACATTGATAAAGTTCTTAGATCGCTTCGCTTACAAAAATCCAAAAGAGCCGAAGAATCAACAATTGGAACCGAGAGTTGCACGAAAGAAAATTTATGATCCATGGGGCGTACGAAAACTCTCTGTCAGGTCTAAGGTTTGAATATTACTCGTATACCTTGTTCATTCATTATAACTTAGGAATACATCGACAAAAAGAGCTCTGAAGTACCTCCTGATGAACGTTATCTCCACAAATTCGCCAAGCTCAAGTTCCAACCGAAAGAAGAGGAGAAGGTTGAGGATGAATGGGATATTGAAAGTGTCAACTCCGATGAGTTTGAACAGCTCTTGGGTTTGTAATCAATAGCTCTACTTTGACTAGTGTCATTTTCAGAACGTTTCGAACCCGGAGAGGGTAACGATGCATTTGACGCTGATTTCGGTGAAGAGTTCTCTGCCGAGAAAATCAAGAAAAAAGCTGATAAAAGAATTGCTGAAGACTTCTCAGACGGTGAAAACGATGAATTGGATGAGGAGGACTACGATGATGATGACGGCGATGAGGAAAATGATGATGATGAGGTATCATATAAATTTGGTTTGAAAACAGTTTTAATTTTAAGGACGGGTTCGACGATGACGACGACGATGATGATGTTGAAATGGAATCGGATTCAGATGAAGAGAGGGCGTTCACACGAGGAAAAGGAGGTGATCAACTCGATAGCGGAAGCGACGACGAAGATTATGGGGAGAACGATGTTGAGATGGCTGGTGATAGAGTGAGTCATACTGTTCAGGACCGTAGGTTATAAATGTACATATTTAGTTCGGAGCTATGCTGGAAGATATTGAAGATGAACATAAAGAAAACAAGAAGAAAGGCAAATCTTCAAAATTCCAAAAGAAGAAACGAGGAGGAGTTCAGCAAAAGAGGAGGAAATAAGCTGTTTTTTTTGTTACAAAAGTTGATTGTTATAGTTGGTTTTGCGTATTTCTTTGTTATTAGGTTATTGGTCAATTGTTGTTGTTATGACGCTCACACACTGTCTGCCACCCCATGTAGAGTAGTTGTGAATCATTTGCTTGTAATGAGACTAAGGTTCATGAGTTACGTTGTTATTTTCTTTAAAACTGAGACTGTTGAGCATGAACCATCTCGATATCTCTCTAACACTCAGATCGGGAGTTAGTAGGTATCAAGCTAAAGAACTCTCAAGAGCATCAGCATCTTTTTTGTTGTTTTGTTGTTGTTTTCACTGTTACCACTTCTAAAACTTATCTTACAATGAATCTACGAATGTTTTCTGATATTTTACATGTTGAAACCATTTCATATTTTGTTTGTCGACGGAGTTTACGACGTTGTAGGGGTTTCCTCAGCTGAGTAATCGTCAAAGAAGTGTCTACAATTCCATCTAAGACCATCTGCAGTTTCTCTTATTGTTCTATCCGCTACTTCAGTTCGGTTGAAACCGATTTATATATAGCAAGTGGCTTGAATCTCTTCATCTGTTTGCTTTCTTCCAAAGCAATCCTTTCACACATTTACTGCCAATACTTGTTTATTCGATATGCTTTAAGTTTAGTTGGTCCTGGGAATCCTCCGCTACTTCTATTGAATACTATGGTATACAATCCATAGCATAACTATTGGGAATTTACTTTCTCAACCTCGCTTCACTCAAAAACCTATCTGAATTTAGATTATTGCGAGCTCGTTTTTTTCTATTCTCTCACTTTCCTTTGAAGAGTAGTCTCACTTAGTTCATTTCAATTGCCTTCTCACAAGTATTCTGCGTAGGTGAGTATTTCTTACTTATTGTTGAGGTCAATTCGCCCCATCGAACTTGACAAAGAAGCAAGATGACTTTTTTGCGGAAGACATTTGTCTTATTAAGTGTGTCCCATAAGATAGTCACTGACCATTGGCCAACTCTGTCTCTATCGAGTAGTCATTCATTAATAGATTTCGATACAAACGTCCAACAATTAGCCTTCATTGTCTCTTCGCAAAACGACTCTATCGAAGAACGGCATGATTGTTGTGACCTCTTATCTCCTTCCATTTATTTTCCTTTTCATCAGTCCAGTCTGATTGCCTCATGTCTTGTGTGAACACTCTTCTGGCCCAAAGAGCGCAGGCCGTTCTTCCAAGTTTTATCTGCGTCTCTGATTTTGAAGATACTGTTTTCATACTCTCTTCTTTTCACCTCACACACACAACCTCATCATAGTGAGACATTATTTGTAATCATTGGGAAACAATGAGAGGAGCAAGATGGGAGAGAAAAAGAGATAGAAAGAATGAAAGAAGGAGAGTGGGAAAGATGAGGTTCTGCACCTCTCTATCGGTATGTAAGTGTCCCTTTGCACACATACTGACGGAGACCATCCTATTCTTTTCATTCCGTTCATACATACACACATTCTTATTGTATCCCTCTATCAAATTTTCGTTTGGTTGTCACCACATGGGTGCTTTTCAGCAAATTAGGACATGATGTTATGCTTTGTTTGTTCCCACAACTTCTCACATTCCTGCCGACGTTATCATTTTAATTTCTTATCATAACCACGTGTGTAAGAAAGTTGTTTCACACCTCGTGTCTGAAATTCCCAAAAAAAAATTTTTTTTATCGAAAAACTATTCGTATACATCGTTTCTCCTGTTTTCGTTACTTTCTATTTTCGTCCCTTCTTGAGTTCATATCGTCTCCAGGTATATGTGTGTGTGCATTCCGTAATCAACAGCTCTTATCAAAAAGAATTCTCTTAATACCCGTTTTGTTACATTTCCTTCTCTCACTTCTTCTATATTTAATTGTTTTTTTCTCTTTTTCACGATCTTTCATGTTTCTATACTTTGTTTCTACTGTTCTCGTTACATCAATCTTTGAGCTCGTTGACCGTTTTTTCTTCCAAATTTGCCATGATCACCCAGTTATCGATTTTTTGACATTCGCTCTCTATCGTTCTTTTGTCTGATCTTGATAGTGCTCCTTAGATAGCTAATCCATAGTTCTGCTTACTCTCTATGACCTTTTCCTCTCCGATGTCCCATTATCTATATGAGGATGAAAATGCTCATAATGATCATTATTTTCTCGACCTAGTGTTATAATGACTCTTCATCTTGTTGGAATCCAAGCGGCCCAACCCATCCCTCCATGTGTAATGTTTGTTTCCTCAGCTTAATCATCCATTTTTTAGTCCCTTTATCAAGCATTTCTCCGCAATTTTTTTCGGAAATTTCATATGCCTAAATATTCTTTCGTTTGGCGGAAAACGTGAAAGGAAAGTGATGGGTTGCGGCTAGCAATTCCAACCCAGTTTTATAAGTTTTTTTCGATTTCTTTTCAAGTTGTTGGCGTAGTTAGGCCTTCTATCAGTGGCATATCCTCTTCTGGATGCAGCAGAGGTGTTCAGCCCTGTCACTCTCTAAATCCTTCTGATAATGTGATAAAGTTTCCGTAGAACATGTTGAGCTTTGTTTGTCTGGCTATGCAGACAATATTCCTTACAAGATCATCACCATATCTGAAGGAGATTCCATAAAGTCTGAAGATGTGAATTGGTGCGTTAATCCAACATCTGTTTGCGATCCTCGGTTTCCGTCACGATCGTCGATCGCGACTATAGACGCTCTTGCGTTCCGACAAACATAGTATTGATCTTAGACTGAATAGGAGGCTATCACGCGTGGATAACAAACCATACCGATTGTTTTTTCGTGTTTTTGAGCATCTAGCTTCTCAAGTCTTATTTGAGATTTGATTTCATTGGTCTTCTGTTTTGTGCAGTTTTTACGTTATCATCAGCTCTCACTGATGATAGGTCGAAACTTGATATGAGTACTGCGAGCTGTGCGTTCGTTACCAATGGAACGTTTTGCGTTGGAACGTTCTTGCGTCATTTCAGAACTATCTGTGGATCTGCCTGGCACATGAACATTGCTTCAATCTTGTTTTCTTTAGGTTCCTCGTTAACTTGGTATCTCCTTGAACAAATGGCTCTTTCTTACAGCCAGTGATCACTGTCTATCTTTTCTTATCCGCAATGTCGTCGAGTTTCTTTCTCTCGGTTGCTTCGTCGTGATCACATAAAATACCAGTTACTAACTGTCCATCTGTTCCCTTTCTTCGAATTTGTTGAAGCAAAACCTGGTAACCCAGCATTATGATACAACTTCTTACGACCTTCACTTTGAGTTCTTGCAAACGATTTCCGGACCTCTCATTCCTTCAGTTTGTCCTCGATTCCCCTCTCATTCACATCCATAAAAGCTATCTTTATCTTGTTTCTGTGGCATATCGGTCTATTTGCTGAGCTTTCCCTTCAAAATGTCTAAATGTTGAAATGGAGAAGACTTTCCGTATGTTTGCAAATCTTTGCTATCTTTGGAAATAAGCTGTTTCTGTCTTCGACTCAGCTTTATTGCTTATACCTTATTTACAATAACGAGTGCGGAAGCCAATCGTTGTCACTGAACCTTAGCAAAAAGCTAACAAACTATTCCTATTTGGAGAATATTGTTTATTTCATTATACTGTTAGCTTTTCCAATTCCATAACGATACTAATGTTGTTTGCTTTTGAGCTTTCCTCTCCTCAAAACTTTGTTACCACTGAAAATATTTTTTGAAATGCGCGCGCATATGCAAATAACTTACGTGAAAACGTGGAATGCCAGGACTTCATATCATTTTCTCGTGTGAACGCGGCGAGAGCGGTTGATTCATGCAAAATTGAATTTTTTTTCCAGTGAAACGGTTGGTTTTCTTATTCGTTTCCACTATTGTTTCTTTTCTCCATTTCCGTTTTGTGATCAATCTCATATTTTAATTTTCAACATCATATTCTTAATCACATTTGTTTTCATTCCTCTTCTCCTCATCATGTCAGAATGTGCCTTTATTATTTGCTTGTGATGATTTGGACCATCTTGTCTTTGCTGTCACCTTATGTTGGATGACCCCGTTTTTACCTCCACGTTTTATTGATTTTTCTTTGTTCTTCACGTGTGCTCATATTGTTTTTTTGCAGAAATGCTGCGTGGGCAGCAGCCTTCAACTTCTACTGCTGTATCCGGATTGTCACAGGTTTGCATGACACTTCATTATAATTGAATTATAAGACTTCATTTCTTCCAGGTTTCACTAATTCATTCATCTGATTCCGTTAGAAGCGTCGCCAATGCAACGCCAATATCCTGTACCGCTTTCGCACCTTCAAACAGAGTTAGTTTTGTTTTATGAAAACCTTTGTTTGTGTTCCACACCACGCTCCATTATCTTTTATTCTGTCTTTTTGCCTCATTTTTTCATTTTACTGCCAATTTATAGCTTTTTTTTCTTCAAGTTTTACTATCTTTTCTTCAATTTGCGAATGGTTAGTCTCGTCAAAGTGCAATTCATCCCTATTGTTTTCATTAGAGAAGACACTGACATTGACGACTTATCACGTTCAAAATGTTAAAACTTAGAGGAACAAAAAGGATGTCTTGAAGTATCTGCTGCCACTCTTCTTCTTCTTTTTCGTAACTTCAAGACCATGCTGTAACATTACTTGCGTTCAATTGCACACTGAATCCATTTCGAGTTTTTTCGTCACCCAAGTGGCATCGTCCGTTATTTCCTTATGGAAATTTTCTATGGTGCTACGTAGGATTGGCTATGGATTGAATAAATCGCCAAGGTCATGGTGTTCGTAGCCACACAGCTAGTCATGGCTGTAAACGATTGCGCTGCGTGTTAACTGTCGGATTTCTTAGAGAAATCTTCTTCAGCTATGCAACCAGCTATCGATTATGATTCATCAGAGATATCATTCTTCAATCGTTATTGGTTTATCTGTTTATTTTCTACGTGGTCATTAATGTATTGCTGCATCATTGTTTGATCTTTTTGTAGATTCGTTAAGCTCCTCTTCAGTTTTCTTCCTCCTTGATTAATGGTTCGTTGAAAGAAAGCTTCCAGCATTGTTCAACTTCGTTGTTTCACACTTCATTCTTTAAAGCTCTGCGATCTATCTCCTATCTCCTATCATATCTTTCGATTTGTTACAAACGACGATTAGTTATCCTGCTACTTTTTTGACTTTAGTCGCTCTCGTTTGAAACTGCTGGATCTCCTCAATCTTCCTTCTTGCTTTCCTAGCCTAGCGCTTCGTTCCATTTAGTTTTTATTATTGAGTTGGTAGTAGAGTTGAGTAGGTGATTAATACATACATGAAACTGTCGAACCGTTCTCTCTTCTCTTTCTTTCTTTCTCTCTCACATTCTGATTAATCCTACTGAATTGTTTATGGTCAATCATCAGTTCTTCATGATCATTCCTTTTAGTTGTTGTCCCATCAAATTGTTTCTGGTTTTTTCATTAGGACACAAGCATTTCGGCTCATTCTGAATTTCCATTTTTTATGATAGTTAGGCTTTCTTCAATGGAGCTATCGCTGTCTAATAATCTTTTCGTCTTTGACAACACTCGTTGAGGAGTGTTATCCGATTGATGGATTGTATCCAATATGAAAACCGTTGACAACCAGCAAGCTGGTCCACCCGTTTTCTTCTTTTTTTTTGGCTAACATTTTCTAGCTTATTTCTTATTTCCATTTTTTGTATCAACTTAAGACATCTAGTGTTTTTCTTTTCCCGCTTTTGCTTGTATTCTGTCAGTGCTCCGATATTATTTTTAATCTTATTTCACTATTCGGTTCTTACGTCTGTTTTACGACTAAAACATCAATTCCGGAGAGGCTCGTCAATGTAGGAACTCTTGATAGGTTAAACAGCCACCTTTTGCTTCTCTTCCGAACTCAAATTGCCTACACTTCGCTTACTCTAGTTGAGAAATGAGGGCGCTCCAATCTTTATAATGAGATCTTTCGATAGTGAAATCGGTTACTGTGCTATCTGGAAGTTTCTCAAATGTTCTTAGTCTGCATTTTTTTTCAGTCTATGCATTTTTCCTTCGACAGTCCGGTTCAAGTACCCATAGTAATCATATCATTAGAAGTTTGTTAGATGTTTCCATCATTAATTCTACGCACGCACCTCTTGCTATGCCCTTCTTTAAGTTCCGCGAGTGTTATGAAAACAGCGACATCCAGATGAATTTAGATTGTTTAATGTAGTTTCTTATATCTATGACCTTTTACATCTAACAGTTCTCGCTAATATCGCGTATCATTATCATGGCTATCATACACAATCCGTAGAATCCAAAATTCTATATATGGGTTATTGATGTATGTGCGAGTGTTGATTAGCCTACAGAACCAAAAGGAACAAGAGTCGATCAAGAATCCAATTTATCAAGAAATTGAATCTCCTCTGAATCTGGCTAGTTTTTTTAGTTTTCCCATTTATAATTGTACACGACTAGAAGTTGTTTTAAACATTTTCATATTTTCTCTTGACTGCTCTTCATCCTCTCGAAAAGTAGTTCCTATTTGGTTTGTAAGAAATTCACAACAGCCTCACTTGTTCTAATTTGGAGAAACCTTCTAGTCTTTTGGTTTTTTTCTGATAATTCTGACATAAGTTAAACATCTTGTGATTGTTAAACCTGTTTTGAGCGTGATCAAACGCTACGTACGATATTATTTTAACAGGCTTGAATTCCGGCTCTTAGATGGTGCCAGGCTAAAACTGAACCCGAATAGGTCTAGTACATTGCCTCTCTATTATATATAGATTATTCTTAAATACTGTTTCTTTTCATATTTCCCTATAATAATATACAAGGGTGCTGAACAGGAATGCCAGCTATATAATCTCTAACAATTGTTCCAGAGATGTAAGCTAAGCTTCAATATTTCTTAGATCGTCGGCGGCCTAGTTGTCATCGGCTTTCCGTTTGTTCCTATTCATTCGCTATGGAATTCGCAAAGTTCATATACCTCAACTTCTTTCACCTCCTATTATATCTCAGCATTAAGCGGATTGATGGTATTGGAACCCGTTCCAGATATATTTCAATAAAAACGATGATGTGTTTCCAAAGCATCGCAAGTCACCTTCTCATGTAGAAACTGTTTTCTTATCCTCTGCGTCATCTTATTCTGATGGCTATTTTTTCGTTGTCCTGTTTTCATGGGCACATGAGTGCATGCCTCAAACAATTTGCCATTTTTCCGATCGAAGATATTTCGCATAAGAAAATGTTCATTTTTGATTTCTTGTTTTCAACTGACTAACTCGAAATAATCTTTCCAAAATTCGAGCGTTGGTTTATGTGCAGCTAACCTGCGCTAACAGTTTCTAATAGCTACCTTATGACTTGTCACGTCATGAATCGTTATGAGAATTTCTTGAGTGACAAGGCTTACCGTTTGCCATATTTTGAATGCCATTGCTATATGGTAATTATTCACTATTATGCATGGAGTATTGTTCACAATTGAGGAGAGGGTTTTGTTGGTTTCATTCAACGGTACTCATTGAATCTGTCATTGATGGCGATCGTCTTTTAATAGCACCCGTTGCCTAAATTGGACGGTCGGTTTCCGCAAATTGGAGCTCCGATTTGAATCAACTGTGCCCGGGAGGCAAAATTTTTTTATTCGGAAATTCCCTTTTATCTTTCGTCGATTCTCAAAGGTTATCCTTCTTAACAATTTATGTCATCAGCTAATTTAAAACGTAATGTAATATTCCTTGCTATCATTAGATAGCATTACAGCTGGCTGTTGCTGTCGTTCTCTTCTTCTCTATGGTGCGCGAATCTCCCCTGCGGAAATTTATTGCACAAGTTCTGAAGACCCATTTAAATGCGATGTTAGGCTATTTCTTTCTTTCATCAAACTATGTATATTCTTCGAAGAGATTCTTCCGACGTATTTGGTATATCTTTCATAACTTCATTCCCTTTTATGGCAATCGTTCCTGAATTTCAAATTCTCTGTTCTCTCAGGCTACCTATGACACCAGTTCTGTGTGTAATACGTGACACTCGAACCTCTGCCCTTCGTTAGATTGACTAACTTCCCGTAATCTAATGAATTTTCGCTTTATAGATGTCAAAACCTCCAGTTCGAGTAGTAGCGCCTCCTATGAGGCATCCACAGTCGAGCGTTCCCTATGGTCACCATATGGCTCATCCTAGTCCTAGTCCAGCAATGGGTAGATCACCTGGTCCTAATATGGTCCCGACCGTTAATGTTCATCCAGTCGCAGGAAGGTGAGTATAGCATGACCTTCAACCTCAAATATCTTCCGTTTAGGTCATACGATGATGACTACGCAGAGCATCAGCGTCGCGTTTATGAGAACAATAGGTATTTTTGCGACAACCTCCTAACTTTAATATTGATTTCAGAATTGAATTAGAACGAAGACAGCATGCTATGCGCATGCAACAAGACCAGAGACTTCAAATGCAACAACACCTGAAGAGAACTCCTATTGATAAAGAAATAGATTTACGGAGATTTGACATGGAAGATAAGTCGTTAAAAATGAGAAACAACGTAAGGATGGAAGAGACTCCTCTACCAGCTCCTATTGAAGAGAGCAAAAACGAACTTCGCTCTGCATCAGTTAGAGTTGATAATTTGCGCAAGCAGGTAGTAGGACCTTCCCTCTCCATAAATGTCATGTGTTGTTCAGCTTGAGGAGATTTACAAAAGACGACAAGCTGCTTCAAATGCTGCTGTCGCAGAACAAAAACGTATGCAGATTGAAAATCAGCATCAAGTTCATCAGGTTCATCAAGTTCAACAGGTTCATCAAGTTCAACACCAACAGGTATAATCCCTTAAGAGAAATCGCAATTCAGTTACTTTTCTCAGATGCTTAATCGTTCTCAAGACCGAATGTATAATCCTGTGAACGAAGTGTTAAGGCCGAGAGCTTCTGTTGAGCCATTCAACATCATAGTCGCTAAGCCTGAGCTAGAAATCACGAAAGAATGTATAGAAGAAAAGGATGTAATTGACAGGTCGGTTGAGTTTTTCTCTATGGTATTCAAGTATCTATGTTTTAGTTCTGCATTATTGAAACAAAAATCTTGTTCCCCTCCTAACGAACCTGTGGATAGTTATTCTGGCATTCTATCTGTCGGAAACAACACGCGTCAAGATATTAGTCCATCTCCTCCTAAAGATCCCCATCCCACAGTTCCCTCTTCACCTCCTGAAAGTCGGGGGGCTCCAGAAAAGCCTGTAAGAAGCAAAGAAGTTCAAGATAACGTCGTGCTCACTCAAGTAACCGATTCACAATTCAAACGTCGTATTTCAATATTTCAATTCAGAAAGTCGAATGTCAATCCTCATATCTTGTTCAAAGGCCGACTTCTCTTGGAGAAAGTATGGATGAGAGTAAACTAAGATCAGGAAGAACTGACGCTGTATCCCTCCGGTCTGATTCTCTGAAGGCAACCAAGAGAAGGTTCAAATTCCAAAATTTAATGAATTTCTATTGTGAACGTTGTAGATCATGGGCAGCATCTGAAGGAACTTTCTCCGAAGCCGAAACTATAAGGCGAGTAATTGAAGAACAAAAACGTGGTAAACACCACTTCATTCCTGAGATACCAGTTGAGGCCGAAAAGGTAGATAGCAAAAACTTTTTCCTCCTACTTCTTATCATTCAGGTGGAACCAGAACCATCATCGGCACAGGCGCAGAATGGAAACACTTCTGAGCGATCAACAACTGAAGAAGAATCATCCTTAACCAGTGACGATGAACCGCAGGTAGAGGTATGTTCAAACAAATTTTTTTTTTCAAATTTTTATCTCTTGTCGAGTGTCTTAATTTGGTAGTTACAAAGCATTAGATAACTTCTCCGTCTAAAGTGAAATTGGCATTACTGACCTTTCGTTCTTCCCAGCTAGGTAGCAAAGAAACTCCCCCTGACTCGTTAATTTTTTGATTCTTGGACGTGCTTCCATTAGAATTTCGTTCGAGTTTCAAGATGATGCAAGAACGCAAAAAAAGTTTAGTATCCAAAATGCCTTTCTTTTTTGGAAGATCTCGTTCCGCTCAACCGAGAATGGTTTGTTTTTGTTGCACTTGCGCATGTTTGAAATCCCACTCCCAGTCTCCCATTAGTTTTTTTTTCAGTTTTATATATGAATCTTATTATTTTTTAGATGGAGGTCAACCAAAGAACTGTCAAGGGAATTCTACGAGTGTCTGGTCTCAAAAAGCCCAAGCGGAGAATAGAGTTTGACCCATTGGCTCTCATGCTAGACGCTGCTCTTGAGGGTGAACTGGATTTAGTAAAGACTAGCGCTTCGAAGGTTCACTTTGCATTTGTGTTTTGCTCTATTTTGTTTCTTCCCAGCTCCCAGACGTATCGGCAGCTAACGATGAAGGAATCACTGCACTTCATAACGCAATATGTGCAGGCCACTACGAGATTGTCAAATTCTTAATCGAATCTGACGCGGATGTCAATGCTCAAGACAGTGATGGCTGGACTCCTCTTCATTGTGCTGCGTCGTGTAATAATCTTCCTATGGTATATGATTGTTATCAGCTGCCCATATTGTATAACTCTGACTTTTCTAGGTTCGACAGTTAGTTGAAGGTGGTGCCTGTGTTTTGGCTTCAACCTTATCTGATATGGAAACACCAGTGGAGAAATGTGAAGAGGATGAAGAAGGATATGATGGTTGCCTGAGATATTTGGCTGCTGCTCACAGTGCAACAGGGTCTTTGAATAGCGGAAAGGTCAGTAACAATAAGTCCCTGCCTAAGCTCTACGCAAGCTCATTTGCTTTTATGTAATTTTCAAACAGCCTGCTGGCAAGATTCATTTCGTGCTTTGCTGTCTCTAGGCGAATAATGAGATCAGTACGCTTGATTAGAGTAATATTCATTGCTTCATAAAATCTCATTTGCAAAATAATTTCGCCTTGAGAATGAACGGATTTCTATGTCAACTCAAATAATAACTTCCAGGTTTACGCCGCTTATGATTATGACGCTGAGTTTGAAGATGAACTAACATTCAAGGCGGGAGATGAAATGAGAGTAATTAGTAAAGATGACAAGGAAAAGGTTTGATATATGGTGTTCAGAAGTTGATTTATGTTTTTCCTTCAGGGTTGGTGGACGTGTGAGCGTTTAGACGAAAAAACTAATGAAAAGGAACAGGGTCTGGTTCCAAGAACATATCTTGCCCTGTATGCAGCACTGAAATACCGTAAAAAGTAAGTCATAGTCGCAGATTTCTAACAGATCAATCTAGCGAGCGATTAGTTAATATTAAAACTTTTTCTTCAGACTCGGATTCGCAATGTTTGACTTGCCTTTGGAAGCAAATAACAATGACATTAATTAACTCGTTTGCTTCTTCTCTTCTCATTTGATCGTGCTCGCTTGTCGAGCGTCACTTTTCGGGTTTACATCGTACTTACTACCTCCCAAATTGCCTTTCTAGGAGCCTCCTCTCAAAGTTTATTTTGTTTTTCCTATTTTTATTGTGAGGTGTAGGTTATACTGTTGAGGTCCTGAGCTCATAATCAGTTTTCATTCGAAAACAATCTTTCCCAGAGACACCACTACTCGCGGTTACATAATTTTTGGAATAATATACTTCTCGTTGAAGTCTTTGCTTTCAAAAGCATCTTTGCATATAATGTTTCACAAATGCCTGTCCCGTTATGGTCGCATCTTTCCAGACAGTTATATAAATGCTCAAATCTATGTTTGAATTTGCATAGAAATATTCTATACTTTTATCAGATGACCATAACTAGAGAAATCGATCTTCTGTATAACTTTTATGCTTCTCAGATGAATATTAAATACTTCTAAGTTTTGTGAATGTCGTTGCTCTTTACAATTACATACTCTCTTGGTCCAGATGACGCCATAAGCCCAAATGCTTCATTATTTTGAAATCTCGTCACTAGCTCTGAGGCGTTAATTTTATCAAGGAAATATATTCGATTTGACGCCTGGCCATGCGAGCTAGAAGCCTAAATTAGGCAAAAAGATGAGATGTCGTTGCTGGCTTAGTTTTGCTTAGCAGAAATCACATAAAAGAAGCACCGGTTTGTGGTAAATTCCGATATCCTTATACGACAGCATGTACACATACTCACACGCACATACGAGGGAGTGAAAACAGAAAAAGTAATAACTTTAAGTGATTATATAAATATGAAAATGCTATTAACTACCATTCACTCAGAAAACAAACATGTAAATAATTGAATTAGCATATTAATGTGTCACGTGATTTACGTGGAAAAAGAAGGGCAGAGGAATTCATTTTGAAATGAGCGGAGTCATAGAGCGGTTGCATTTGAAGTAATAAATAATTCATTAAATGGTTTTGAAGCGTTTTTCAGACAAAATATGCGAATACTGATTATATGCAGGGATTGAAATAATAATTTAGATTAAAAAACGAAGGAAATAATAATCTGAGGAAGAGCGATTGGATCGATGGCATTATTCAGATGCGTTTTCTTCTTGACTACCTAATCCATGTAACTTCTTTGAAGTCGTTCGTCTCTCTGCCAATGCTATTGTGTCTCTCTCTCTCTTTCTTCGTCTTCGTTTTCTATGTTTTCTTTTTCGGTATATGAAGAGAAATCTCATATCTACTCTTTCCTTCCCATTTTGCCTCCAGCGTTTATCCATTCACAGAAGAATAACATCTCCCACTGCTAGCTTATTCTCTTTACGCTATCGATATGTAGATTGCTGTATGCTTCAGGAAACTCTAATTCAATTCTATGGAATGGTCATTTTTTATATTGACCTTTCACTAAAGAATTCTTTATAGCAGCCCATAAGAAATCTTTTCTTCTGTTGCTCATGCCATTACTTCCTAACGAATTGCTGCACAGCTCGTCTCGCTCAATCATTCAAGAACAACTATTTCATATTGTTTTCTTTCTTTGATTTCGATTAGCAGCTAAAATTTCAAAAGAATGCATTCATCTTTTTTGATGCGCAACCGGAATTTGTCTAATCCAAAGTGATAGATGACCACAATATGTTTTCAGGGCTCAACTTGTGGCTGTGACTGTCTTTAACACAGCTATGCACAAAAAAGACGAAAAAGCAAAGTTTAAACTAATCGTTTGAAGTTTCATTTGCTTCCTCCTCTTCTTTTTCAGGGTCAGTCGCTCTTTCGTAGTTCCAACTTCCTAATTATTCTTGTCCGAAGTAATCTGATGTTGGTTACTTGATTACTACAATTGGGTGTGAAAGAAGGAAATTGTTTAAACGGAACGGCGGCACCGGAAGAGCCTATGTTCAATAAAACCATCCGATCACACTTTTCAGTTTCAATGAAGATTCCTTCATTGAAATTTGAAAAGCTTTGTTATTTTCTCCCTTGAGACTACATGTTCATATATTTCATTTGTTTCTCCTCTCTCTCTCTTTCTCTCTCTATTCTCTGTGAAGCCGCAGGAGTATGTAGACAAGTTGTGGTTTAAAAAAAAGCTTCATCAATACAGACTTGCTACGAATGTAGCTCAACCATTCTAGCCTTCTTTACTTTTCTTTATAATGCGTTTGTTCTGTCAGCTAAATGAATCAAGAAGGAATGATACTAAATGTGCTTGACACTGCCCTCGGGGCCTTTCGTCAGTTGCTCTCTGATTTATAGCTCAGTCTCTCTATTCGTGCCTCTGCTTATTTTCCTTTTATGTCTGTCTTTTCTTTGTGTCGTCCTGTCTTTTCATAGCTGTTCCATTGATGGTAAGAAAAAGAAGATATTATAAATAAGAAAAAAGAAATTATTGTTTTCTTACCTTCTCTCAATCATCCATAATCTATAGAGATGGGGAGGAGAACAGATTTTCAGTCTCTCTCTACCTCTCTTTCTCTCTCTCTCTCTTTCTCTCTCTAAGCTTGACGTAATATATAATCTACTAACAAATATGTTTGAATGTTCTCACTTGCTTAACCATTTTTCTTATATTCCTTTTCTTGGCAGTTAGCAGATTCTGTCACTCAATGCAACTTTCGTTCCAACTTTTTATTCTTATGCAATCGTCTCGAAGCTCTCTTGACATGTCCACATATGGCATGATAGTGAAGACGGCCAGAACGAAAAAACATGAAGAGAAGAGAGAACAGAGAGATCCAATATAAGCGAATGTTTGTTTTTGGGTGTTAAATTTGCATTTTTGATCATGAAATCTCCACGATCAGCTTCATTTATCTTTGTTTTTCTTGTTTTCCCATTAACCAACATACCATCTACGCTCACTGTCCATCGGTTATCGTCTAATATGATTGTATGGCATAAGCCAGCCATCGTGCTATCTCATTTGCACATTCTCCGTCAACACGCTTGTTCACGTATTTCACGTGAAAAAACTGTGAGGGGCGGACTCTCTATTTCATTTATCGCGTTTGAAGCTGACAGAGCGGTTGCATTCCATGTCTATTCTTATTTTCTTTCAATTTTACAGGTTTTCATTCTCCTTTTTGAAGCTTATTTCCTGTCATATTACTCTTTCAACTGCTCGATTCATTCCGCATATTACTCCTTCGCAAAACTTATTTTTGGCTTTTGAAATATATTACGGAAAAGGTTCATTTAGCTATGAAATCTGTATCATTTCGTTCAGCTTAGTACATTCGAACTAGAATTGATTTACCTATCGTTAACTATATAAGCATAGTTAGCCATAAAGGTTGTTTATAGTAGATATTCGTACTCAAAAGGATTATTTAATTAAATTTATGACATTTCAAAGATAATTCTTACATCTCATACAAGAGCTTGAGCCTTTCCGTTTTCTACATTCTGTTCTCCGCTGTTTGCAAATCGTTGGAAAGTTTCTAAAACTTTCGTGCTTCCATATCATATCGCTTAAGCTAACAAGAAGTGTATGTGTGTGTGTGTGTGTGATGAATGTAATTTGAAATTAGTAAGGATTCTTTAATCCACTGCACCTCCAATCTCTTCCCACTTGAGGGACTGACTGCTTGCGAAAATGTCTTTTTTATCTTTTTAATTAATCTATTATACTCTCATCTCACCGATTCACTATATGAAACTCTGATTGTAATTAAATACTTGGAAGTTTTCCTTTTTGGGTGAAGCCTTCGGGACAGGCTGAATGCAAAGGAGCATAGCGAGAGGGTAAGCTGTGAGATCTGTCGCCGGTTGTTAATTTCCGTTGTCAGTTAGCTATTAGCAAAGAGAGAAACAGATAGAGACTGACTAAAGAAAAGGAGAAGTAGAGATGGAGAGAAGGAGGGGGAAAGAGAGAAAGAATGATTGAAAGAGAGAGTTACTTGGAAGAAAGGCAAAAAGAAGGAGAGGAGAGTATCGCTGTGGGTGACGGCAACCACAAGTCCATCCCATAAATGGATAGAGAGTTAGAGACATCAAAATAATAGGTAAAATTGTGTAGACTCAGAGAAGGAGAATGAAAAAGTAACATAGAAAAGCTTGGAGGGTGGAGAAAGAGAGAGAGAGAAAAAGACTTCTAATGGATATTCTTATTTTCCAATCACGATTCTCGCTTGATCGCTGTGCGATCGTCTACGTCTAGAGTACTGAAGAAACGTTTCCCTGAAACTGTTCGAACCTTCTCACATTCCATTCAAAACTACTCTAAGCTTACCAACTTGTCTCCAGAAAACCAATTCAACAGTTTTCCAAACTTCCCAGCTAGAAACTCCGTTGTGGCCATTGCTTACCAAATCTTTTATTCTCTCTTCATAGTTCAACTCTACCTCCTTGTTTTTTTGCTTCACTCTCTCTATGTATTCATGCTTCATTTGCTTTCATTCTTTCACTCCCTCTCTCTCTCTCTCTCTCTCTTCTACTCTCTATGTTACATTGAAGCTCCTAAAAAAAGAGTTGAAAATGTTCTTCCGAGACATTTTGAAAGTTTGATGGACTTTCGATGCTCCTCCTCTATCTTTCTCATCACAATCGTTCATCGCAGCAAACACTCTTCTTATTATTTCTTTTTTAAAAACAAAACTTGAAACTTCATCTTAATTTCCTTGACGTTTAATTAAGGCTCGTCGTCCAACCCACATCTTTAACCGTTTGTTTAGGAGAATCGTGAGTGTGTGAAGTAACTATACCTCCTATATGCTACTTCTTGTGGCTGGTCATATACTTGGCCTCTGTGTCTTAGTTGGAGGACGAACTAGTCGGAACGATTGGAAGGATCAACATCCTCAACAACGGTGGAGATTACAAGGTATGATTTGTGATGATGACATCGTTTACTGCAGTTCGATACTTTCGAAAACTTTTCGTAAAACGTTCGCAATACTCTCTCTTCTTCTCTTCTTTTTTACTTTCTGACATTTCACTGAATTATTTTCATCCCATACAGCTCAAGCTGCAGATTTTCACTGTAATTATGCAAATTGCTTCGCTATCGAAGATTCAGAAGATTGTTAGACATCACGAATCCATCTCTCCATCCCCTTCTTTCTCTCTCTCTCTTAGAAAGAAAGAAGGGATCTTTCAAAAAATTATAAATTTATCCATCCACATAAAGATGAAGAAAAATATTTTTTTAACATTTCTCTCAACTTTTTTCGGTTTCCACTCACTCTCTCTCTCTCTCTCTATCTCTCTCTCTCTCTCACATCCATCTGATACTTCTCACTCACTTCCTTTTTCGGTTAACATAGTTTTGGAAGATTATATCTCCTTATATAGCCAAAGATGTTTATGAGATGTTTCCAATTTATTTTCCAATTTTTCATAAAAATAAGATGAATGTTATAACATTCTGAAGTATAAAGATCATGTTTGAAAGTTTCAGATCCAGATAGTATAAGCCAATTTACAATAAATCACGAGGAAGGTGGGTAATATTGGGTTTTGTATTCATTTATACAACAACAAACCCACCTATCATGCTCCTCCTCTATCTTTCCCTTTGTTAATGACGTCACACGTATCATTCATCATGATTGCGTGTGACATCATTAACGTTTAACTTCACTTGTTGTGCTGTGTGGTTGCATTCACATTAACACTTTCAGTTTTTATTAATTCCTTCAGTTACTGCAATCCTTATTCGGTAGCTTACATGTAATGAAATCTTATAATTAGTTAGCGGTCGAGATTTATGCAAATTGGGGATGAAAGATGGAAGTGTTGTCAGAGTAATTAACGAAAAGCTATACAAGTTCAGATGACCTTCAGATGGCTGTGACAGAATTGGTAATGAAGATGAGAGTTGAGCTTGAGTTCTGTTGCTCAACCAACTCTCATCCTCAGCCTGTAGCTTCTCATCCAATCTCATATCAATATGAAACTGGAAATCAAATGGAAATTAGGTTATGGCTGCCATCATAAAAGGAAATTTAACAAAATTTTTGATGAATTTTTCATCTCTGTTCTATCTCACCATGACAACCCACATGAAACCTCTATACTCGATGGTTGGGTGATCAGAACGTTTATAAGTTGTACGAAGTGTTCGAGCTCTATTTCAACTACATGAAGCCTGAGTCTCAATTATTTGGAGAAGTGGAGCCACTCGGTCAAACAAGTCTAGTACTCTGAACAAGCTTCGGCTTGAAAGTACTTAATGAAAGCTTGACGAACAATCCAATTCTTAATTTATTATCTAATTTGGATTGTTTAGAGAGCTCTATGATTTCTAATCTTTCAAAAGACCGTTGAAACTCTTTCCTTTGCCCCCCCCCCCTTCTGTATTCCGTCAACGTCGTTGAGATCTTGGGCCTCTTACTACAATCTCATAACTTCTCCAAACTCGTTTGGCTCTCTGTTTTCCTCAGCCACTGTTCCATTAAATTTCATTACTTTGCTTCATTTTTGATTCATGCCATCTTGTACGAGGTGTTTTCTCTTTATCAGATTGTCCTCCCTTCCCAACATCCATTTCATTTCCAACTTCAATAACGAAAAGAACATTTGGGTTGGAGAGCATTCAGACGTATAGAGCAATCCGAAGAAGGCAGCAGCGCGTCTAAATAGCGTTAGAGGTGCCCCGCCCCTACTGCACCTGCTCCCATCTCCACCCCTTCGGCTTGGACAGCACACGACTAGCCGTCTTCCCGCCTCCTCGCTGAGCATATTCAGCAACCATCTATTGCCTGCGGGCATCAAGCTGTCTTCTACGATAGTCCTGGATTCACGTGAGCTCTTATTACTCAAGATCGTGCACATTCCAGCATTGGAGACATATCCGAAAATCGCATTTGACCAGGACCACTCCCTGAACTCAAGTGTTTTCCTTTATTTCTTAACCTATCTCATATTTCTACTACCCCAATATCGAGGTCGTTCTTCAATCTCTCAGAACTATCCAGTAAGCCCTAAGCAGTCTGGCATTTTCTTGGTTGAGCCTATATATTTAAACTTCTATTCTCACTTCTGGAACTGTTGGCTGTTTCGCCATGAGGCGATGACGTCACAGTTCACTAAGTTGTTCTCGTTTATTCTGGCGAATGTGCACGATCCAGCAACGTTTGACGACGCGGGTTAGTTCATCATACTCTTCGTTCTGTCTTTTTTAAAAATCATTTTATCCGTTTTAACTTGACCTTCGGCTATAATCTCGTTAGTTTCAATTTTCTTTTTCTGTCATGCCCTGAGGCTGACGTTTCGCTAATTCCCGCAAACTGCTTGCCTAAGGAGCTTTCCTTCAATTTGAAACATAAGCTGATAACAGTCCAGATAAAGGGATGGATTTAGAGACAATATGTCTATGTCATCTCCTTACACGCTAAGCTTCATTTTGATCAGCTTTTTCTCTCTTTTACACCAATTGGGCCAATTGCTCCGTCACGGCTTCTCGACGAGTCGCACATCTATCCAGCTTTTCCTCCTTTCTATGTCCTCATCTCCGTAAAATAGGCAGAAAGTGAGAGAATGCAACAGAAGAACTGATGAAAAATAGAGAGTAAAAGAATTTGATGGAATGAGAAATAGAAAACGGAAAATAATTTGGAGGACTCGCCTAACAGATCCGGAATGAAATGCGACAGAAGAAGGGGAGGTAGAGGAAAGATATGTATAGAGAGAGAGATATACATACTAGTATACATTGGGAGAGAAAAAAAATGGATGAAAACTTGAGAAAATGCTTTACTGATGTATTTGGTTGTTGAACATTCCTTCGCAGGTCCATTCTCAACCAAAACAGTTTTCATGATAGTGTGAGAGGTGGAAATAGGCCCCTAGGGACTATCCATATATGGCCCGTCCACAAGATATTCGTCTGAAAATATTATTTGAATGATTTTCAAAGTTATTATTGTTTCGTAGATGAAGCTTTAACGCATTTTCCACTCGACTAAGCGATTGACTTTCTCTTTCTACATGGAGAATCAGGTGTAATGAACCAATTGGCAGAGTTTGCTCTGGAGATATTCGAAAGGTTTTTTTGTTGCCCAAAAAAGGCTTTCAAATTGAGAATAAACGTTTGTGGCAAACAATTGATGATAAATCACCGTCAAAGGACAAGCTGATGAGAGCCATCGACCTTTATGCTCGTTTGGAAGAAAGTTGAAGAAGCTTCGTTGTTCTTCATAAAAGCAATATGCTTTTCCTTTCTCCTCTTCTGATTATGTAAAGCTGAAGTTCATATATATGAAGCTTTTTTATGTTCGGCAATACAACACTTGATGAAAGATGAGGAAAGAAAGGCGGAAAAGTTAGGAAAGAATGCGGAGACAGGAAGACGTTGTCGTCAAAATCAGAAGACTTTTTTATTTTTGAACACGAAATTAGGTATAAAGTAGGATTTAGTTTTATGAGAGACTGCCTATGCAAAGGAGAAGACACACAGAAAGCACTGAACTGCCTCAGCTACACAAAGAGAGAGAGAGAGAGAGAGAGAAATTAAAAATTATAAAGAGAGTTGACATTTGAAGAATGAAAAAGAATGATATAGAAAGATAGAAAGTGGACGTCTGTGAGACGTTCAAATGGATTTTTCTTCCACTCTAGGCCCAGCTTGTCACTCATCTGTATCTATTGTGTTGGCCTTCAAACATTCCATCTCCCCTCCCTTTCTACTCATGAAGATTCTTTTAAAAGAATTCTGTGGTATAGTTGCTATCAACTTTTTTGTTGCTTCACATATTCCTTTATTCAACTGTAGACCCTTTTAATCCCTAATTTGGCATGGCAGCTGATGTTCTTCAGCTTGTCTCATATCTCTTGGCCAATGTATCAGACTTCTCATCAGGTAATCAAGTATGGTGAATGACGTCGTATATCTTCTTCTCGCTCTCTTTCACTTCATTCACTCCAATCATATCTTTTGATGAATCTTTTGTCTCTCGTTCTTCACTTGGAAACAAAAAACAATCGTTCAACCCGATAATCATTACATCAACGTTGTCTTTTGTTGGAAAGCTCAAAAACGAAGTCTTCCAGAAACAAGCTTGTTAGCTTCTATGCACTTACATTACATCCGGCTTCATCTCCTCTCCAATATCTTCTTTCTGATAATCGTACAAGTTTTTCGATTAGTTTTTTGCTCCATTCATAACATGTTTGCATACATTTTTTCTTTTCCGAAATTTGAATTTTCAAGAAGCTCAGGGGAGGGAATGTGTTAAGAAGAATAGATGATTGGCTCGATTAGGCTGTCTTGACACAACGATTTCAAAGAGATTCCGAGCATCTCCCTCTGCCGCTTCCTCGTCTCTCTTAAAAGTGGAGAAGAACAAAAAACATTTGATTCCCATCATAGTTTGTGCCTCATTGGCTTGTTGGTCACTCATGACTACTACATGTATCTGACGGCCTTTTACAAGTCCAATCCGTAAGTCTCCAGAAATGCTCAGATCCTTCTCAGCTTTTCAACTTGATCAAGCATTACAAACTTGCAACACCCAATGTTGCAAATGAAAACTATTAAAACGTACAAACTGGGGGAGCAGCTTGAATTAAACGATGTTTAATCAAACTTTAAAACCTATTATCGGCCCATATAAAGTCGTATTAGCTCTGAGCTTGCTTTTAATTAAATCTAATATTTGGATTTAAAACTTTCATTCAAACCATATGTTTTGATGGCTTTTCAAAGACCATTTCTCAATTTCTTTAATTCTTCACTTCATCATTTTGCCATTTTATACTAATTTTGCCAATGCAGGAGGCGGATGTCTCTTCTCCCCTTTCCCTTCTTTTGCCTCTCTTGCTCCCCTCTTTCCTCTTCTTTTTGTCTCTTTATACCCTTCTCCCTCTTTCCTTCTCTCTCTTTTGCTCTTCCTTCTCTCTCTACACTCAGTTTTCGCTCTCAAAATTTCGTTTCTGCTTCTCCTAACGCTTTTTCGGTGATTTCTTAAGTGGATTTCTTTTCTCGCCTTTCGTCTTCATCATCAGACAAAACGAAAGCGTACGGGTAACAACAAATCTCATGTGGTGGTGCCAACAAACCAGAAGAAATTGCCAGAAAACTAGGTGAAAGCGAGTAGCTTTCCGGTCGTTTTTCCCTCCTGACTTCCTTCACGTTTCCATCTGAGAAAACTTCAAACACGAACGAATCATATGAATGGAGAAGACTGGTAGGGTGTAAGGGGGTTCAAACAGAACGAAACGGAAACTCATACTCGTTTCGATAGTCGTTTTCATAAAGGACAATTGAATTAAGCATTTCTTTAATGCTATTGACTAACAAACTTTAAAACTATTCCGTTTTCTGTCACTTCATTTCAAGATATTTTTTCCCTTGGGTATATCATCTCTTGTATACGCATAGCCTCTCACTCACTCTTTGCAATTGGATGCGTTTAGCTCGTAGTGCGATAACCTTCAAGACTGATGATTTAAGCTTGTGAATCAAAGTTTTTTGAGATTATAGGGATATCTTTTTGTTCAAATAATTCCTTATCTCATCTTATGGATGTTGCGAATAGACACTCCTAGGGGATTGTGAAGTTCATTCATCTGATGGACAAGTACTTTCCATCCTTGCCATTCCTTCACTGCTGTTTCATACAATGGGATAAAGGCTACGATGAGACTTCATCCTTGTTGTTATGATTTCTCACAAACACAAATATGAAGAAAGATGTCTTCCTAAGGGAACTCATTAATTCTTCTTCTTGCATTCCATATTTGGATATCAACAACCATATATCAATACCTTAAATGGTTATGTTTACAACTTTTCTCTTCCTTCTATTTACAAATGAAAAAGAATTTGTTAAAGAACGAACAAGACGAACGAACAACCTTCCTACAGGGACGAATAGCTACGGGGAGGATGTTTCATCTCCTTCAACGTCACTTACATAACCGAATCATCTAATTTTTCTGTTTAATTACATCTGCCACATTCAGATTTTGAGCATTTCATTTCATCCTTTAATGCTAATCGTCTTAGACTCCACAAAAAATGTGTTTTTGGGTCTTAGCCTATGTGAGAGGAGGCCCTCTGAACGAGAAGAGCTTTTCTATGTGTGTGTGTGTGTGAAGAGAGAGAGAGAGAGTCTATCACTAAGGGAGAGATTTCATTTTTTTCATTTAATTGGTTAAAGCTTAAGAACAACAAAATGAAAATCAATTGTTTCAGCTCTTCGTCTGCCGTGTTATAGCTGTATGAGCCCATACTTGGAGGATCACTATCAGTACATATCGAATCTATACCGGAAGCCATTATCATTTGATGTCCATTGTGATAGACATAGGTTTGTTTGAATTTATTTCAAAATGAACAAAGAAGAAGGATACTTCCGTTTTATGAAATATAATCTTTCATAATTCCTTGTGTTTGTTTTGACTCTCCCTCTCTCTGTCTCTTCCTCAATGCTCCTAACACTTCTCATCCTCATCTTCAGTTTTTTTGATGATGAAGTTTGTATAAAATGAAGACGTCGTATGCATTCATAGCTCTTATAAGTCTTCGTAATTGAATTGGCGGCGAAGCTCACGAAATGCGTAAGTACGAGAAGCTGTTCTTCTCATCTATTTATGAGTTGGCTGCATCCATTTTTTTCCCTTGGGATATTAAAATATGAATTTCAATATGGTTCAGGTTATTCATGTAATCGTTGAGCTCATTCGGCCTTTTTAAGTTTAACACAAGTGTCTCCAAATAGGTTTGAGCATGCTTAATATTCAGTCTAAGAGGAAGCTGCTGAGCTTAAAAAGGAGGACGGAGGGGGGTAGAGGAAGGGAGAGATCGGCGACGATTTGAAATTTCTTTTTTCTCGTCAAAAGCTTTGAGTACTTTGTGTGTTTCAGTCTCGATAGGAATTATCTTTATATAAAGAATTGTTCGGATATGTGTGTGACACTACGTATAAACGATGTCGTTGGAGGTTGTTCTTCCATTTCATTTTTTTTTTCAAAAAATAATTTATTTCAGGCCGACGACGGCATGGTTACATGCGTGGTTGTTTATCAGACATCATTGGTTATAACCATAGTTTAGTAAGAGTACTGGGTGAAATAAAGGAATGCATAGGTTTGTTCCAAATGGAAAGTATCATCAATGAACAACCGCTTATTATAGAACCAACTGCTCGAGAGCTTTTCATGGCGACAGCTCAACGTCAAGAGCTCGACTCATCCCGTTTAACGTTATGTGGATGTCATAGTCCACTATGTAACTCTTCCAATAACTTATTGAAACCTCTAAAGATATTAATATTATTGATATTAATGATATTTTTTATAGTATCATAGAAGATTCCTCACTTATCTTCTTTCCCCTTCATCCTCCCTCCCTTTGATATACCTGTGAAGATGTATGACCAGAGTATAACGACCTCAATGTTCCTTCTTTCTTCAGGTTTAGTAGCCAATTATAAAAACTTCACACGGGTATCCTCTGGCTTCTTCTCTTCTTCATACATTTGATTTGTATTGTCTTTGAAAGTGGTTTTGCATAAAGAGTTTAATAGATGTTCATTGTAATCTTCAATATCAACCTTCAATGCCTTCCAACGTCTTCCCAAGTAAATGGCATGAAAAGCTTCTATAAGACACACCTTCCAGCTTCCACGTAATATCCACGTGAAAGCTGAGGCCACACGTAAAACTCACGTGGATAAATGTTCATTGTTAAGGTTGTGGACGTGCTGAACGGTTGCTCTGAAGAGGAAATAAGAAAAAAAAAAGATTTATTCGCTAGCGACAAGATTTTGATGGCGGATTATGAATGAAATTCCTAGTGAGTTTTATAATAATAATGTAGTTAAAGCTTTAGAAATCAGCTGCTCTACCCATTGATGGCTTTTGTCATGTGTGATATTTACAATGAAAATGAATTCAGAAGAGAAATAATAATAATAATAATAATATTAAGATGGTTAGTAGGCATAGATGTAGTTGGAGACGTAGTAGTTGGAAGAAGGGAAAGAATTAGATGAGAAAGCTTATCTGCATGGATTGATAAATAAATTATTATTATTTATAAGGTTTGTAAGCTGAACATCTCATATGGCGCTGGAGGGAAATATGCTGTTGCCGCTACGGTATTATAACCCTGATAAGATGGAGCAACATCGGGGAATGATGTTGTAGGTGCTTCTACATTCTGTCGACTGTCACGTCCACCAGAAGAACCCTCATCTGATTCGGATTTGACGGAATTTCTGAAATGAATTGGTTATCAGGTGGCACTTCAAAGGTTCAAATTCATGTGTACGGAACTCTGTGGGACAGATGACCGTTCTTGACCTCACTAGGTGCTGATGCTTCTCCTTTGCGAGTCTCAAATAGCTGGCAACTTGTCACCTTCACACTCTCTTACATTCTCACACTCTCTACTATCTTTCCGTCAAATTTTTTGTGTTAGCGAGGTTAACAAGTCTTTGTCCTCTTTCACCTATTTATAAGCATCATCGTGCTTTTACTTGTTCTTCCTTATGTAAACGAGAAAAACAATGCAAATGTTAGTTCAGAGAACTTACACACTGAGCAACGAATAATAGAAAAACATTCAATTACGGTAGATTTTTATATTTTTTCATCTTTTGCACAGAATTTAGTATTCGAAAATGTTTTTTTTGAAAGTCAACAGACTTGATGACATCATTGAGAAGTTCTTAAACCTCTAAGTAGTACTCTAATCCCCTACCAGACCAAACAGATACCTTATCTGTAAGGCTATGGATACTTCATAGTTAGAAGTAGGATCAGCATGCTGACCAAGATATGCTAACCAGGTGTTAGTTTAAGGACTTGACCTCCCACTAGCAATAAGTGATCTTCACACGAACAAACTTAAATAATGAACAGAAACGTACTTTTCAAGGACTCCGTTTGCTCGATCTCTTTGCCTCTTGTTTTTGAACCAATTTGAAACCTGAAAGCTTGTGATTAAGCTTCATATAAGATAACTGATATACTTGAGTCACTGAGAGCTCTGTCTGCGTTGCTAGACGACGTTTCTCTTCGACAGAGGGGTACATAGACTGAGCATACGCATCTCGTAATGCTTTTCTGGATTTCGACTGAAATGTACATTGGTAACGTTTCGTTGAGACATTGAAGCTTACCTTAAAGCAATAGTTCGTCTCTTCTCCATCCCAGATGGTACTGGGGAAAGGGTTCTTCTTCCTTATACGGTACTTACAAACAGCTCCGAGTTCACGCTCCTTCGTTTTTTCAGCCTTAAAGTATTTGTTTATTCCTGTTTGTTTTTTGGAGAGAGGGTGAAACTAAGTGACTTAGAAGGTTAATGACGTAATACTAGAAAGTGGTAAGAGCCTAATGCGAAAACATGGTTTGACCTTATTAGGTAAGAGATACACGGGAAGGAAAGACAAACCTCAGCGTAATGTGCTCTCAGCCACATATCTTGTAGAATTTGATGATTGTGAGGAGAAAACTTGTTGCTCTCCAATACTCTTCAAGAATGAATATATTCAGGATGATATAGATTCGATCGTTACTTACCGATAGAGCTGTTTCCAGTTTCCTTGATTGAAATAGAGCAGAGCTTCAGCTTTCAAACAACTCTCCAATGTCTGACGATAGATCTGGGGAACAGTCCAGAGGAAATGGGACTGAAAGCAAGATGCTTGAACTCATGTTCTCTGTATTTCTAAGGATTTTTCTTGGAGCTGAGCTTTTATTTTGGCTATGTACTAACTACTTATATTTTCCCTGTATGTAAAGCCCAGTTGGAAAACGATTGCATCGACGTCGGGACGTTAACGACGAGTGTAGCGCCAAGCGGAATATCGAGTTTCACCTCCACCATCTCTATTCCTCGTCGGAGAGACTGGGGGAGACTCTTCCATCATGACGACGACTTCATAAACCATTCAGTTTCTCTTCATCTGTTTTTCTCTCATTCTCTATATGTCATGGTGTTTCTAATATTTTTCTTTCACAAGCTCTGTTTGTCAATGCATTTACGGCTGGTACTCTCTTCTTCTTCCCAATGCTACTCTAGCCAATAACAGATGCTCATTGAAATACGGTAGGAAGAGGCAAAGAAGCTTAAGCTTATAGCATGCTAATTGTTCTTTGGTAGACGAGGATATAGTCTATAACACAGGGAAGATCCTAATATTGGAAAGATGGGAAGTACAAACTTGCTCTATCTCACTCTCTCTCTCTCTCTCTCTGTCTCTCTCTCTCCCTCTATCTCTGCTATCCCTCTCTTTCTCTTTGTAATCCTGCATTGTTAAGGAAAAAAAGAAGAAAAGATAGAAGCTTCAGGTACGCGATAGACTTTTTGTAGGCGTCTTGTCAATCAATGTCTGTGTTCTATCAGCTCAATGCCTTTATGAACTACGGTAGTTACGGCTGTCATCTAAAGCTGACAACGGAACAACTGAAAGGTGATGAGTAAATGAATGACAGCATCACCAATCGACATCATGTCATCTGGCACTAATCATATTTTTGTGAAAAGTCTTCTTGGTTGTCTGCAGGTAATCAGTCAACCGACGTCAAATCAAAAACATTCTCTTCTACGTTCATAATCTTCTGTGTGGATGAGAATGTTTTTTTGGATTTTATTCATGAAATTCAATACGGTAGCTTGTTTACTATTCCAAAGCTGCTCCACACAATCATCGATTGAACGCATTTGAAAACCGTGAAAGGGTAACTCACAAGTTGTTCGTATTTTCCTGTCTGCCATCCTTCATTGAATAATGATTCGCAGATACAGCTGATTTCCTGTTCCGAATACGATGTGGTTGATCTGAACAATATAAAATTATAAATTATAAATATATTCTTGGATTAGATTCCCAAGTTACAGATAAGCAACGATCCTGCATTCCCTTTTAAGTGGGAGGGTTGGGGGAAGTAAAATGGGATTCAAAAGAGTTCTGATAGGCAGATAGATGGAAACTTTGGATTTCCAGTCTATCACGATGTTAAGAACAGTGATGGCATCATGGAATCGGAAGATTAGTTTGACAGCACATCGATGGTATTGTTCAAAGCTCGGGAAAAAGCTTGTACAGTACCAAAAATGCCGGTTTTAACGAAAAAAGACAAAAATTACTAAAAATGGGGAGAGTTGTCGGATTTAAAGCGGGTAAAAGAGAGTTGAGGTGAAAATTAATTTTAAGATATGATGGATTTCAAAAGAAAGCTATGAGATGCCTCTAGTTGCAGCATAGAGCTCCTAGAGCAGTGTGCAGAATAGGGCGGATCGTAACTTGATCTATAAGTTGGAAACTGAATAAGTTTGAAAGTTGATATTCTCACGGGTGCATATGGGCGCCGGCGGCTGTAGACGCAGCAGCAGTGGCAGAAGCCGTGGACGGGTAACCGAGCATTTCTGGGCTCAGCTCGTCTCGCGTCTGGGGACGGCTCGTCGTCCTTTTCTCTCTGTTCGTCTGACAACTCTATAGACAGTGAGCGCTCTATTATCTGTTCCTAGGCCTCCGCCCTTCGGTCGCAAGCTTTCCTACCTCCGCCCCCAAGCCTTACGAAAACCGTCTCGAGTACGCCGCCCCTTTTTGGAATATATGGATTTTGAGAAATATTGAGTATTGATTGATGACAGACTGAAAACTATAAACATACATAGAAAACTGAAAATTTATAAATTGTTTCCGTAGTCTATAGTATGCCCGACACATGGTATACGGTAGAGTCATTGATTCACTCTTGATGACATCCACTACTCTCCTCTGCTAACATTTATTTTTAAATGCCATATAAGGGTAAGTAAGAACTTGTTCTTGAACTGTTAGATTGACTTACATGATTTGACAGCTATTTGATAGCACGAATAGTCTTAAGTTTCCTGTTGAACATCTATAATTTTGGATTCAGTTTCATGTCTGACAGAAAGTGCTCGATTTCAGTTTTTTTCATTTTTCGCTCATTCATCATTGGGTTGGTTGTGCTGTTAGTGAGGTTCTACCTGTTCATTTGAATTATTTCTTATTCATTATTTTATTTTCTTTTATTAATTAAATAAAATAGACTTGACTAATAAAGACAGCTGTTAGTAGTTGTAGCTTTACGTGACCAGTCACTAAACAAGTTAAACAAACAAGTTGCAGATGCTGGACTGTCCTTGTACATGATGTCTTCTGTATCTGTCCAGATGACTTTATTTATCATTTTCATCAACCTCTTACTTTAACATCTGCGCTTTTTTTGACGTCAATAAGTTCTTTGCAACTATTTTAAAGAAATGAAGAAGAAGAAGAGAGATAGAGGAAGATAAAGGTGAGAGAAGAGAGGAGAAAGAGAGAGACGTCATCTTCTTCTTGTAAAAAGTACAACCGATCATATCTTTTGAAATGTAAGAGGATGTTGGGATGTTGCAAAATTGTGGAAAAAAAAAGAAAAAAATGTTTGTCTGGGACGTTAACTGTTTATCTCTGTCAACCTTGTTTTTCAGATTAATTATCGTTCATCCTTCTCTATAAACTATGGATGGACATTTGTAAACCTTTCTAGATTATTCCTTCTATCATCTAGTTTTATTTCAATTTCCATCTTTGACGAGAAAAAAATTCTATTTGCATTGATACAAAGGTCCTAAAACGTTAATGGTCCAGAAGCTACGGTATCTCCTTTTCCACGTTCACAAGTCTCAAATTTCATCGTCAGCATAAAGCTGATGAAGACTGAGAATCGATTGCGCAACGGGAGGACCAAGCACCAGATTCGGAAAAGCTCTCCCTGACCATCTTCTGCTGGTTGTCAAACAGGTTGTCAGGCTCAATATCACAGTACATGAGTATACCAATTATGATAGGAAGGATTCATGAATAAATCATAATAAAAATTTTATATAAATGATATGAGAGTCATAAGTTATGATAACTGGTTGGAGCAATCAAATCCGTTGTTGTTAATGAATACATTGGGTACGGCAATTGAGGAAAGCCGGCTGTCCCTTGAGTGAATGAAGGTGTCTGAGTGTAAGCTAAGGCATTTGGTTCTTCTGAGGCGGCACACGGCTGTTGACTTATGCCCGTAGATAAAACTCTCCCTTTTGAAGATGTTGTTTCCCTGAAATCATCTTCATCGCTAGCATCCGATTCTTTGAATGTTCCATCTCTGAAAAGACTGTTCACGTAAGAATTTGTTTCGACCGAAACCTTTCTTTGGCATCAGCTGCTCTATCTCGCTGCCTTCTATTCTTGAACCAGTTAGAGACCTTTAATAGATACAATAAACAAACTACATTTATATTAAAGGTTATACTTGTGTTACAGTAAGATGTGTCTGTTGGGCCAAATCCTTTTTCTCCTTAGGACTTGGATAAGGATTTCTTGTGTACCAATCACGGAGCAGATGCCGTGACTTCTCCTTAAAATGGTCAATTATCATATTTGAATGTGTTGAACTGTGCTTAAGTACTACTTTGATGTTCAGTTATTACATGTCTAGCTGTGTTGCATATAGTAGTAGTAGCTCGTTATAAACAAATAACTTACTCGAAAACAATAACTTGTCTCTTCTCCATCCCAAATAGTTCGCGGTAAAGGATATTTTCGACGGATTCTATACTTGCCGACTGCACCCAGTTCTCGTCCTCGTATCTTCTCGGCCTGTAACAGTGAGAGTGCTGTGATGATAGCAACAAGTGATTTCATTGAGATATTTTATTTTAAAAAAATGGTTAGCGGGTTGAGAATGCAGCTGCTTTACATTATAGACGTCGTGCTCTTTGAAATCTGATGCTTAAAGGTCTTTGAGCAGCGCTCAGCGTCCAAATAGTTTTTGCTTCAGTTTTGTAAGCAGAATATAGCCTCCAAGCATTAGTTTCTTTCAAACCTCATTATAATGCGCCTTCAGCCAGAGCTCTTGTAGAACCATGTGATATTCGGGTGCAAAGTGGTTGTTTTCTAGGATTCTGTACAGCTCCTGAAATCTATGATTGTCAATTTTTCTTATTTTCGAATAGATCACTTTATAATTTTGTTTATGATAAGCAATAAGTGCCTGGGATTTCAGTACGCTTTCTAGTCGGTGGAAGTCATCTCGTGGGGGTAATGACCAGAGAAACAGAGCCTACAAATGGTTTGTCCAGTCAAGGATTGAAAACTTACAAGAAGATCAATTTCTTCAGCCAAAACTTCACAAAGACAAGAGATCTGGTCTGGAGAATAATTGCTGTCGATGTATCTGAAACAACTTGATATGCTACAACCTCGAAAATCTGATCGTAATTGAGAATACAAAAGACGAGCTATTGAGCTCTCAACACAGGATATGTTTTTTGAAATAGTAAGAATAGCTTGAATATCTTCTTACGTGATATGCGAAGACGATCTGGATCCCAAATGAACTCCTGTGGAAACGTTAGCTGCTGCCGCCGCCGCAGCAGCAGCTGCAGCTGAAGCTATTGATGAACAACGGTAAACATCCATGTGAGGAGTTTGGGTAGGTTAAGTATTGAAGCGATTTATGAATGAAGCTGAGTTAATAGGAAGCGCTCTAAGTTAGAAGCAAGTCTGACTTAGTGCGTCCGCCAACAGGAAATCTAATCCTTAGTTCTGACAACAGCGGCAGCAGCTGCATTCAAATGAAAAAGTATTTTTCTTAATCTTAATTAAAGCGTTTTCTGTTTCCAGTCATACCCGCCATGTGTGTTCTGATACACTCACTCCATCATTATACTATGGATACCACTTGATAATTGCATTAGGTGTGGATGAGTAGCAAGTCATATCAGAGTACTACAAGCTAGACTAACCAAACAGTCTCCAACGGAAAAAAAGAAAAACATAGTTAAAACCATTCCACCAATCATCTTCAAACTTTTGTGACAAATTCCTCGTGCTTTGCTTCAACTAAACCTTCTAGCTACTCAAAACTATGTTGTTTCAGTTACGTATTAACTTTATTCATTTCGCCTTCGTTCCACGGTTGCAACCATTGGTAAACTCAGTGTAGCTCTTGTAGTTAAAACTACCTGATGGTAGATTGAACTTGCTTCGTAGTTGATTGCGTGTTTAATCTTCTGAACTGTTCAATTTCATCAATGAAAAAGTGTTTTTGGACAGAAGATAGTAGAAGCTGGGATATCTTATACAGCCCTGACCACTGAATATTTACTGACGATGATGACCTTTGTTTTTTTTACTTTTCAATTTTTATAGTAATAACTATAAGAATAAAAATTGATAAAATAGAGATCATGAAAAATTGCGATAGTCTTCTGAAATGTTAGAGAAGCATAACACATCGTGCCTAACGCTTAATCACGTACGAGTAATTTTGAATAATTTGGTGGACTGTTTATTTCAAGTGTGATGAACTTTTATTTTTCTTATCATATGTTGTTCAAAGTATTCCTCTTTGTTACTTTGTTGCAAAGAGAACTGTCTCAATCAGAATTGGAAGCCGTGGATGCACATATACACATACTTCAAAAATTGTTTCAGCTCAAATGTCTGTTCTGAAGCCAATGATGAACGTTATCTTCTGATTAGAGTTCCTGTTTAAATAAATTTTTTATTTTCGTTAATTTTCTTCTCGATGTATGAGTGGTTGACACCGTTGTTACTTGTATCTCTATGCTAA